TCTAAGGGCCTCCTGTATGGACACTTGTGGGGAGTGGACGCCCTTCTGCCTGAGACTGAGCTGCTTGACTTGGAGCTTCAGTAAAGCCGGCTGGGCCAGCCTCTCACTCTGAACTGCGGCAGCGAACCGGGATGGCTCGCACCTGCACAGCGCCACGTGGAACCAAACCTCGTTTTCCCTTTTCCTGACTCGGAATCAGATCTAATCCAAAAGCTACATCTCAAAAAAAAAAAGAAAGAGAAAAACAAAGCAACAACCTAAAGCAAACAAACAATGAATTGCATCTTCTGACACTTGGGCTGGAAGAAAATCAAAGCATAAATATGTGCTTTGCACCAGGCCTGCTGAACTAACACTTCCTCTGCCCGAGCCCTTGGCGCGGTTTTCCCGGTGAGAAGGGACAAGGTGGTGCGAGGTCTGGAGCCCACGCTGCTGACGCCCGTGCTGGCAGAAGTGTCCAGGAGTGAGAGCCGGCAGCAGCCAGGCCCAGAGGCAGGACACAGACCTGCGAGGGCCTGGCCGCCCTCCCCTTCTTGGTGCTCCACCCTGAAGGCAGGACCCTCCCTGGAGCGCTGGGCTGAACAGCTGCAGGCAGAGCAGCGGCCCCAGAGGCTCCCCTGAGGGCACCGGAGGCTGCGTGCTGGCTCTGCTGGGAGGCCCCAGGGACGGGGTGGGGGGGGGGTGGAGCACCAGTTCAGAGTCCAAAGGCCGGAGCTCCAGCAGCTCTGGCAGCCATCACCTCCAGGGCCTCGAACTGACCACGCAGGCCTTCGCAGCCTCGGCTCCTCACGAAAAAAAGACCTCCCTGCTTGCCTCACAGGGCTATTGTGAAGATCAAAGGACCAGGCTTTATGAAAAAAATGAATTCTGCTGGCCCAGCACAGGGATGTCACTGAGAAGGCTTGCAATTCCAACTGAGCATCCCACGAAGACCTCACTTCACTTTGAGTAGAATGAGCAGTTGGATGCCTGTCCCCTTTCTCCCTCCCCTCCAGGCGATGGGGCCCGGGGAGGAGGAGCAGGAGGCTGGCATGGTGAGTGGACAGAGGCCTTGCACGCCCAGCGAGAGCGGGTGGCTGGAAGCCGGGCCAGCTGGGGTGGAGTAGCGTGGCCAAGGCTGCAGAGGACAGGGCTGGGTTAATGAAGTATGAATTGACGGGACCAGCAGCTGATTAGCTGTGGCACTGGGCTTTTCCTGAGCAGAGGCAGAAGAATCGATACTAATCCCTTGATCTGTTTAGGAGTTCCTGCAGATTTTTGGGACAAATCTGAGCCTCCCTTTCATGGGGGATCTGTCTGGAGCTGGAGCCGGAACCTAGTCTAGCGTCCATCCCCCATTTTCTTTTAAATGTTCCCCTCTTTCTTCCTCCTGTTGCCACCTCCCTGCGCCCATGCCCAGAAGGCTGGTGCCTGCCCCAACCCGCACCCATGCTCACCCCTCCTGAGCTGGCTGCGCCCCTCCGTGAGGAGGCTCCTGCATCTGTGTCGTCCGGCCCACGGGGGACTCGGGCTCTCAGGGGACAGAGGCTGGCTTTCCTCTTCAGAGGTGCAGCAGGAACTCTAACCATCCTCTCCTCACCCCGATCTGCGGAGCACATCGGCTGTTGTCCGCCTTAGCCGGCAAGCGCAGGCGCAATGCTGCTCTCCCCCTGGGGGGCGCTTCTGCTCCTGCCGCTGCGTCCCACGAGGGGCAAGAGTTCAGGGTCCATAATGCTGGTTCCCTGTGGTGGGGGGATGCCAGAAACACCAAGCAGGACTCCCCCAGCTGACGCCAAGGCCCAGTGGAGAAAGGCAAGTGCTGAGCGGTAGCCAGCGGTGCATGGTCCGGACCCCGGGAAAGGGACCTCGTGTTGTGCAGCAACAGGGAAACATCTACCCAACACCTGCCTCGTAAGGTTGCTGAGGCTGAAACTTGCATCACATGTAAGTTTCATTTTGAAGGATTCTCCTTTTTTTTTTCTTTATCGTTTTTTAGAGAGAGAGAAAGGGAGAGGGAGAGAGAGATAGAAACATCAATGAGAGAGAACATCGATTGGCCGCCTCCTGCATGCCCCCACTGGGGATCGGGCCCACAACCTGGGCATGTGTGCTGACAGGGAATCGAACCAGCGACCTCTTGGTGCATGGGTCGACTCTCAACCACCGAGCCACACTGGCCAGGCGATGGATTCTCCACTTCAACAGACTCCTTTGGCTAACCAACTGACTACTATTCCCAACCTTATTTAGTAACACAGCTTTATCATCTGTCAGAGACAAGTATCTTGGATGGTTTCTGAGCTTGTTTGTAACTGACTTCATCACACACACACATACACACACACACACACACACACACACAATCCCTGCAACATTAGGTCCTCATCACACATCAGCCTGAGCTGTGTAAGCCCCTCCCTCCCGCCCGCTCGGAAGTGCTGGAAGGAAGCCCTGCCCACTCCCAGGTGCTGCACTGCCCATGGAATCTGACACAGCGCCTGCCCACTGCCCACTGCAGATGCTGAATCATCATTTGTTGAATGAAATAAAATAAACCGTCCCTTCAGGACCCAGGGGCATTGATGAGTGGTCCATCTGAATGCCTGCAGACTCAGTAGAAAGCCTTTCCATGCATTTGGAATTGCCCAGCCTTGAAGCCAGCCTCACAGCCAGCCCTGCCTCCCCAGGCCCAGCCTCTCCGGACGGCCTGACTAGCCCTGTCCCGTCGTGGACACATCAGAGCCTTCCTGTCTGGGTCCAGGTACTTGCTAGTTCATGTGCACAACTCATGACCTCTAAAACCCTTAGGTTTCCACAAATAGGTCTTTCCAGGTGCGGCCAGTCTCCCTGGGTAATCCCTCAAACTGTGACCCAGTCCCATGGGAAGCGGTCATTCAGCGTCTTGCCTTGGTTTTGGCCTTGAATGCCCACCTGACCCCACTTTTCTCACACAGAACATTTCTTCATCCTCATGGAGCCCTAACGGTCGCTATAATGGCAGAGCTGAAAATTCATTCGAACTTTTCCAATCCAGCCTCCACATTTTAAAGATGAAGTTACAGGCCAAGGAGGGCAAGCAGGGGATCCCTATGCACAGTGGGGTGCCGACCAGACACTGACGCTTCCTCCCCACGTCCCCACCGCTAGGCATTGGCCCTGGACTCCCAGCCTCACTCTGCCTGCAGTTTGCCTCAGCCCCACCTGGCTGCCTCCACCTGACCCCTTGAGCATCTCATTCTCGCTGCCCTGCCCCTGCCTCCTCCTGGTGTCTGGGTGTGGCCAAGCCCTTCCCTTGACTTGGTGTTGATTATTCTGCCTGCTTCCACGAAAGGCCCAGGGCGATTCCGGGGTCTGCTGCAGATGCAGATGCAGGGCTGAGCCTATGACCACAGACAAGCTGTGGCCCCTCCTCCGAGGCCCAGGCAGAAGAAGGCTGTAGTGAGCTAGGCACCCTTGCAGCCTCTCCCCTGCCCCAGACCCTCCCACAGGTCCCCCTGCCCCTGCCCCAGGCCCCCTCCCCAGGCCCTCCTCCCTGCCCAGCTCATGCCCTCCCAGGACCCCCACAGCCCTAGGCTCCCCCTGAGCCCTACCCGGTCCAGGCCCAGGCCCCAGTTCCCACAAATCCACCCCTGCTGGCCAGCTGGCTCGCTCTAAAACTGGGGGCTCTCCTGTTCTGCTTAATAACCACCTGGTAATTAGCTCCACGATTTTGCTACTATGCTTATAATAGCCTCCATTAAAGTTATGGGATTTTCAAGCCGTAATGGTTTCCAGAGTAATTAATGCACAACTGGGTTTATTGCTAAGTTTATTTTTAGAGTTGTCCTCCCTCTCCCCCTCCCTTTCCTTTCATAGATGTCTTGACCAGAAAGACAAAATGGGACAGAACTGTCTCCATGGCCGCCTTGCAGCTTGTCCCCACCTTTCCCCAGGAAGGTGCTGGGGCAGCAGCAGAGGTGGCTTCCAGGAGGAGGGTGGCTCTAGGCCAGGGTGTGTGCATCCATGCTCACCCGTGCCTGACCAGGTTTGGGAGCCCCGGGACCTGGAAACCCCCTTCCCATGCACCTGATTGCAGCACAGGCCTGGGTGTATGTCTGGCTCCACCATGTCCTGGCGCGACCTTGGGCAAACCACTGATGAATTTCCACTTGAAATAGTGATAAGGGCAGCGCGTACCACCCGGGGTGGTTGTGATACCGAACATGAAGTGTTGAGCGTCACCTTTAGATACCATAATTGCTACCTAGCAGCTATTGTTACTAACAGCAGCCGGCAGAGGAGAGGAGGTTGGGCAAGCACCAGGGGAGAGGGCGTGGCCAAGGCTGCCCAGGGAAGAAGTGCGGGCAGCTCAGCGAGCGTGGCAGCCACCTGTGCACACTGACCTGCGGGCTCGCCCCGCTGCTGCCTCCATCCGGAGCCTAGACCCCTCCCCAAGAGAGAGGGCTTCAGAGAGGCTCCGCTGGGAGGCACTGGAGCCCAGAGGAAGTCTCCCCGCCAGGCCTTGTAGACGCTCCCCTGTCTTCCATCAGCTGTGGTCTAAGATCAGCCAGCCAAACTGGGGCTTTGACCAGCCCTCGGACGCCCCATCGGTAGTCTCGGAGTGGGGGTATGGGCCTGGGGCTCGGGGTGTGGCAGGAGGTCGCTCTGCTTCATCACACCCCAGTGCTGACCCCTTTATCCAGGCTATGAAGAACGTCATCTGGGCCCAAACACGTGGGCAGCACAATCTTGAGCGTTTGGTGTGGATGCAGCAGGGCGTTATGGGCACTGACTAATTTAATTCTCAGAACCGCCTTGTGAAGTGGGTACTGATGTCACCCCATGTCATAGATGAGAAAACTGTGGCATGGATTGTTGCTGTGACCTGGCGAAGTTTAAACCAAGACAGGTGTGTCTGAAGTCTGTGCCCTTGACCTCTACGCAGAGGTCCACTTCACCAAGGCAGGCAGGCGGAGAGGTCCTCAGGAAGACCCCCACCCCCACCCAGGTCTCTGGCCATCCTCTTCCGTTCTCTTTTGCAGGGGTGCACTTCGCAGGGTCCCTGACTGAGCAGAAACCACCTGGGAGCAGCCGCCGCTTCTGAAGCTCCGGTCGGGCTGGACGCTGCAAACCTGCTTCCGCAATGGGTGGGTTGTGAGCGCTGGTAAGACCTGCTGGCCAGCATTCGGCTTCTCTGCTGCGCCGGTGTCTGGCCTGTTCGGCCCATTCCTGTTCTTTTCTCCCCTGTGCTCATCACTGCTGCCGCCGCCCTGGCACCGTCCCTCTCCTGACCTTGCCGCGGCTCAGGTAATGAGGAGCTGTGGGCCCAGCCAGCCTTGGAGATGCCGAAAAGACGGGACGTCCTTGCAATCGTCCTCATCGTGCTGCCCTGGACGCTGCTGGTCACCGTGTGGCACCAGAGCACCATCGCACCGTTGCTCACAGCGCACAAGGGTGAGCCCCACCCCAGGCAGGGTCAGTAAGAGAGCGAACGGAGCCAGTGCTGATGGAGTTGTTACTTTCATTTGCCAGGGAGCTGGGAGTGGCCATAAGTATGATCCAGGCCAGTGACCTGACCCTTTGAGGTGTCTGGGCCCCTTTGGGAATCTGATGAATGCTGACGCGTGTACACACACGCACACGCGCACACGTACACGTACATGCACGCACGCGCGCGCATACACACGCACACACACAGCTCTGCATCCAGTTCCAGGACAGCAAGGACTGGGAGCACCCAGCAGCAGTGGGGAAGGGTGGCTGAAGAGGATCCTTGGTCTGTGTTTTAAAATCTTTCAAGGAGACTATGTTATTCACCCCTCTTTTCCTGGTTATGCTGTTGGTGGAAGTGGGGAAGTGGGGTATTCCTTTTCCCTTTTCCCACTGAGTGCTGGGGGTGCAGTTCTTAAAATATCTCAAGAAAAATAATTTTCTGAGACTCACACAGGAGATGAGTGGTTTTTATTTGTATAGAGTTAAATCCCTAACCTTCCAAAGTCCCGTTTCCCTTATCCAGTCCTGGAAGAGGTGCAGCTGGGCTTCAGCAGAGCTAGAAGCAAAGCCAGTGTCCAGAGTTTCTGTTCCACGTGGCAGCCAGGTCCAGTTCAGCATTAGGTTAGCTACAGTTCATTAGTCCATTGTGCGTGGGGTTCACATGGCTGCAGACCATGTGGGGGAATGCAGGGGAGCCAAGAGAATGTGCCCCCTACAACAACAGTCCCAAAAGCATAAGAGAAAACCAAGAGAGAAAGCTTCCTTGTTCAGGGAATTAAGTATCCCAAGTCTTCTTGAGCTTGCAGTGGCCACACCCATTCTGACCAGTGACCTCTGTTCCCAGGTGTCACAGCAAGCACCTTTGTTAGTCCCCCCAACTTTATTGGGCATGCATCTATCTTCCCTTTGCTGGACTCCTGGGGAGTGTAAAGGTGAAACTTCCTGGTGAACCTGTCCAAATGACTGCCTATAATTTCTGGCCTTCCTTTTGTTCTTTTTCTGTTATTAATAACTAGGTTAATTGCAACACTCATTTCCCACTGAGAAAAAAAAGAACCTCTTTGTATTCTTACAAAGGAGAAAATGGACAAAGGTCTCTATCTTCTTGTAACCGCTTCCAGCCGACAGAAGGGTGTAGACCTGCCTATCCCGAGGCTCAGAGATTCTCCCAACCTGGCAGAGGAAGGAGGGAGCGAGAGGGAAAGGGTGGTTTTTACGCAGGGAAGAAGGATTCTGCAAAGTCTGGGTCAGTCTGGTGTCCCTGAGAGGTGAGCTAGGCAATGTCCAGGAGGACGACGTGTTGGACAAGCTGGTGTCCTCATTTTATTCTAAAAATGACAAACTTAACAAGAAAGTTTAAAAGGCACAATTCAAAACTGAGGAGACTTATAGTAACTAAAAGTCTCGTGAGAGGTAAAAGCCCATGTGATGAGGGGAAAGATTAACTTATAATGTCCCAGATTCCTCTGGAGGAGTAACTTACCTGGAGGCATGTGTATCATACCTGCCTAAAGCTCTCTGTTCATTACACTTCACTCGGACTAAGCTAAGGGAAACAGTCTGAGATTTCCCTCATGAGAAACTGTGGCCTTTTCTGTCTGAGTCATTTGGGAAGAAAAGGAAAAGCAGTTTCAAGTGAAGCTGCTAGACTGTCCATGTTTCACAGACTCAACCATAAGTTCAAACCACTGAGTCTCATTTCAGGGCACAGTGGTGCAGATGACTTCCATAGTGAGGTCGACACTGTATGAGCAAGAAATCAGGTAACACCACATGATCTCACTTATATACGGAATATAATGAACATAACAGTCTGAGGAATACAGTAAACCCAGACACATGGAAATAGGGCACAGACTGACATCCCTCAGAAGAGGGGATGGGGGGGTGGGAGGGTGGGAAGAGATAAACCACAGAACTTATATGCATGTATGCATGACCAATGGACATGGACAACTAAGCCGGGGACGGGGTGGAGGGGGGGGGTGCCAATGGGGTAAAAAGGTAAAATATCTGTAACAAGAAATCAGGTAAATATGGGTATAGGCCCACATTTTATAAAAATAGAAGAATACCAAACACAAGGTTAATGTATACAGCACATCATAAGCCAGAAGATAAGTCTTCTGCTGGAATAAAATCATATAGTGACAGTTTGAGAGACTGTCTGTAGTTAGAACATCTCTGGTGATGTCACCAGGTGCTGAGGCCTATATGGTGTACACAGACACAGCCTTAAAAACAAAATTTGGAGACAGTTAACTGTACTGAAGCCCAATATCCATAATTGGACATGGTGATTTTCATTGAAATACAGTTTTTCTCTCTAAGATTGCTCTCATTTTCAAAGAGACTCATCAAGTCCAGTTTTTGTTTGGCCTGATTATTTGCATAAAACAATAAGAATAGCAATTGATCGGATCAATCACACAGGCTTTTTCAAATTTGCTTTGCTGGAATCTCACAAGGAATCTTCAGATTGAGCTTTTGTAAGCTCTTCAGGGCACAGATACCAAGCCACACAGTTGCCATTTGGCTTTGCCTGTAATACCTGCATGTTGGGTGTATTCTTCAAGTTCTTGAGATCCCCAAAGGTGTCTTGAGATTCCTTCTTGCCATCTTCCAGGAAAACAACCTTTGTTCCTTCCCTGGAAAGACTGTCATGAACCATGAACCAAACAAGGTATCAGGCTGTTTCTGAAAATGGCTTTTGATTGGCTTCAATTAGTTTTGAGAGTCAATCTCAATTCCTTAAGGCCTCTGCTGAATCCAGAATCCAGGCATGTCTCTCTTAAATATGGCATTCTAGTCAGTCTTGGTTAATAAGACCACATCATTTGGAACTGATCTTACTGGATGTATACAAAGAATTGTATTTCCATGACTCACTTATTAAGAATTGCCAAATTCTGGAGGGATCAGGTAGGAAGAAAATAAGTTAAAAATGAATAATTAGCATTCCCTTGATTGGCAAACACATTCCATAACTCTTAGAAACATAGGCTTCTTTACTGGCAAACACACTGACCCCTGAAAAGACATATTTCCATGGAGACAGGTATACAGCAAAACTCACTGAGTCAGTAACTCACAGGTGAATTGAATTAAACTGATTGGTTTAGATAGCTTAGGTTCAGATAAGATCTGTTTCTCAGACTCTGTGTTCAGACAGATGGTTCAGATAAGAGTCCTTGGAGACCAGATATTAGCATTTCAGAGGCAGACACTCTTTTATTTGACAAACCCAGAATAAAATTCCATGCCAGAGTAGGTGTTGTACTCTCAAGAAATGGAGACTGTGTCACTGTTTATTTCACGGAGAGAAAACCAAAGAATTCTCCTTTCTGTCCTCTGCAAGGGAGAATCAATAGCTTAGGAAAGATATAAGCATCCCCAATTTTTCCTAAATTTCCTCTCATGTTGCCAGAACCTAGGATTTTCACTTGACTCCCACTGCCAGTTTCTGCATCCAGTGATTCATGTCTCACTCCTCCTGCACCAGGGGCTGAGACCTTCCTGAAATGATTATACAATTTTGCCCAGGTTGATCAGGCACCATTTAATTGGGTTTATTTAATTTCACACAGGTGACTCTGATGGCCTCTGACCTTACTGGAGGCATGTACCCTTTACTGTCATGGGTAGACAAAGTCTGGCCTTTTAACTTGACTCTAATAGTTGAGTTAGAAATCTGTTACTGTTTGTTATATTTCTAATAGCTCCTAAGAAGCTTGGTAGTGTGAGACGGCTTTCCTTAAGAAAAAAGTGAGCATTCTCTATTAGTTTGGATAGAATTTAATACCCTGGGTCCTGGGTTTAAATTCTGTTTCCAGTCAGTTTCTAAGATTAGGTAACAAAAACCTTTCACTTCTCTGAGCACATATATATTTGCTATTAGCTATACCTATGGAAGACCATTAAATGACAACAGCAACGTTTGTATAAATTAAAACATAATAGTTGTGTTGCAAAAAAACCTTAGTATTAGCAAAAAGCGTCAGGTCGAAATGATTTGCAGCAGTTTAATACCATTGCCTTCTTTGTGTCCAGGCTTTCTGTGCCACTGCCCTCCCCCGCAGGCATGCTGCAAGGTAGAAGCAAAGGGAAGCAAGAGTCTGAGGGCCCACATGGCATGGTGTGGCCCAGAGGCAGTCAGGTGTGCAGCCTCAGGGATGGAGAGGTGAATGAGGCAGTGAGGTTTGTGCCTCAAACTGCGCAGCTTCGAGTCACAGCCTAAGCCCCTGACTAGGGGCTTGAGGGTTGCTGGCCCCTCCCAGCGCTTAAACAAGCTGGGTTTTTTGTTTGTTTTTTTTTTGGCTGGGAGCCACCCTTGAGCCCCCTTACCCCCTGAGACCCAAGGCTCAGTAGCAAGTGATCGCTCTGGAGCGACCTGCAAAGGCATCTCCTATGGCCATCTCCTCCCAGCCCATGCTGTCGGATGTTGTGCACCTGGGCTGCTAAGCAGTGCTGAGCACACCGGAGCCAGCAGTGCCACAAGCAGTGTAGGGCTGAGTTAAGGAAATGGACCTGGACAAGGGGCGGGAGGGGAACCCCAGCTTAGGTAGGGGAGGTTTCATCTCACCGCTATCTGGTTCAGGTTTTTGTCCTTCCCAGTGCTGGCCAGGTGCAGGCTGGAACAGCTTCAGGCATGCAGGGTCCCAGTCAGCTTTTCTTTCTTCTGCTGTTTCACCTTCCGAGTACTGGTTTGGAGGCTGAGAGTAGAAGGGAGAAGAGGGACGGCTTCCACGCTTTCATCTTCCTTCGGAGTCCCATCTGGGTCACCGCTCTGTTATCAGTGGAAGTGGGGCATCCCATTCCCCACTCAGTGCTGGGGTGGAGTCCTTACAATGTCTTGAGAAAAAGAATGTTCTGAGACTCACACAGGAGGGTGAATGATTTTAATTTGCATGGAATTACATCCCTGGGTTTCCAAAATCTCTTTTCTCTTAATCCAGTCCTAGAAGTGCAGTTGGGGCTTCAGCAGAGCTAGAAGCAAAGCCGGTGTCCAGAGTTTCCGTTCCATGCGGCAGCTGGGTCCAGTTCAGCATTAGGCTAGTTACAGTCCATTAGTCCATTGTGTGTCATGTGGGCAAACGCAGGGGAGCCAAGAGAATGTGCCCCCTACAACAACAGTCCCAAAAGCATAGGAGAAAACCAAGAGAGAAAGCTTCCTTGTTCAGGGAATTAAGTATCCCAAGTCTTCCTGAGCTTGCCGTGGCCACACCCATTCTGACCAGTGACCTCTGTTCCCAGGTGTCACTGACAGCAAGCACCTTTGTTAGTCCCCCCAACTTTATTGGGCATGCATCTATCTTCCCTTTGCTGGACCCCTGGGAAGTGTAAAAACGAACCTGTCCAAATGATGTGCCTATAATTTCTGGCCTTCCCTTTTTTCATTTCCTGTTATTAATAACTAGGTTAAATACAGCGGTATCATTTAGGCAGCCCTGACCTCATCTGACCTACTGAAAATAGGCCTAACTGGAGGAAATGTTCCATGAGGCACTTGTGGGAGAACTGGGCTCTGAGTCCTGCCTGAGCTTCCCCCTCCACCAGGCTACCTTTCCCTCTGACACTAGGGATTCCTACCCCCAAACTGTCCATGTGCCCCACATCTGACTGCCCCTCATGTCTTAGTCTTTAGTCACACTCTTCTCCCCTCTGCACTCCACGCACCCACAGACTCAATACTCTAGGCAGCCGTTCTCCCACGGAAATGTGCGCAGTAAGACATAGGGCGCAAGACAAAACCTGAAGGCATCCAGGCTCATCTCAGCGAGAGGGACGACGAGGGCCTAGGGTAGGGCCTGGGAGTCCAAACGTAGCTGTGACCCCAAGTGACCGGGATGCAGGCTCTAGGCAAGAATCACAGTGTGAAACGGGCTGCTCCACAGTTATACGTCTGGCCCTGCCCAGGCCCGTGGTCACCGCAGCTTCCACGAGGGAGGGCCGAGCTGAGTATCAGTAACGTCCTGCTGCCAGATGCTGGGCCCTTAGAGCTTGTCCCCCTGACAGTTATTCTCTCCTCCCAACTCCAGCGTCTCTCTTTGGTGCCTGTCACTTTAGAACGGTTGCTCTTCTGCAACAGCATCTTGGCAGTGGGGTTAAGACTGCCCTGTTAAGGGACATGACATCCTGTGGCTTCCATTCTTGGCAGAGCTCTGGGGCCAGAGGTGTCTGGCTGTTTGATCAGCACTGACCTCATGCCTGAAGATGAAGATTTGGCCTCCTGTCTACCCAGAGCATGCCAAGAGGGACTGAATGAAAGTTGCAGTGAAATAACGTTAGGGCCCCAGGGAGGCCTTTATCCCTCCAAGGTTGCAGAAACTGTGAAGCCAGGGGGAAGGGCTGGAGCTCAGGCTGTGGCCGCGTCTGATGCATGGAAGGCTTTCCACAGGCATAGACCCACCTGTTTGGGAGGATTTGAGTGGCAGAAAAATGCGGGAAATGGGTCTAAATCTTTTCTCAGTGCTTGGCTTCCAAAACTTTACTGATGACAGATCAATCAGTCCTTATGTAGCTTGGTTAGAATCCCAGTCACTCACCCCTCTTTCCGTAAACGTGTTCTCTTTTCAGTTTGACCCAAAACTCCTCCGTAAAGTAACCTTTGAGCAACTGTGTCTGTGCTCGTCTCCCAGCCCTGCGCTCAGACCTGTGGCACTGTACCCACAGTCTGCAGAGCGGGCTCCCCGCTGAGGAGGGGAAGCAACAGGCGGTGACACAGGGTCCTCCCCGGGACCACACTTCGCCCTTCTGTGTGACTGCTCGTTGCATCCTTTCCATAGTTGCATAAGCCACGAGGAAGTGGGGCTGGCCACTGTCCTCCTTCTCTACCTGAGGAAGTGACAGTCAGTGCCTCGTGGTGTTCTGGGACCTTCACGCGCATTGGCTCCTTAACCCAGATCCTAAGTCAGTAAAGTAGGTGCTCTGGTGAGCTCCACGTCGTAGTTGCCTAAATTGAGAAACCAGAAACTAAGTGACAGAACTGGGCAGCACCTGTACCCAGGCGTGAAGATTCTTAGGTCTGTCCCGTGACCATTCGCTCCTCCTGCTGAGATGGTAGGAGAGCGTGAGGGCCACACAGTTGCTCAAGTGAAAGACATTGCCCTGGCCGGTTTGGCTCAGCGGTTAGAGCGTCCGCCTGTGGTCAGGAGAGACCCGGGTTCGCTTCCCGCTAGGGGCACGTACCTCGGTTGCAGTTTGTCCCTGGCCCTGGTTGGGTCGTGTGGGTGGCAGCCACTCGATGTGTCGCTCAAGTGAAAGACAGCGCGCGGAGGAAATGGGCTAGTTCAGAACATGATTGCCAAGGCCCTGATGTCTCCTCGTGGTGGATGACTAGTTTCACTAGAGAGAAAAGGTCCAGGGTGTAAGGGAAAACGTGGGCGTTTGGAGCAGGCTGCCGTCGTGAAGGAAGGGGCCTCTGCATGTGCCACACAGTGTCCTTGCGAAGATATGGGTGAACGTTAGCTGGATGCTGGGAAAGTTAGGGTCAGTGGTGCAGTTAGTCGTCCAGATGGTCAAATGAGTGTTTCCAGAAAGTGAAGATTAGGAGATTGACATCAAACCAGCAGAGAGCTAAAACAGGTCTCCACCCACCCTTTTGTGTATGCCAAATGTAGGAACATCTAAAATCAGAAAGGGCAGGTTCAGGATTCAAAATTTTCTTGAAAACTATGGGCAAAATCCTGGAATAAAATGTAGTAGTTAAATATTAAATTCTGCACAGATATTCGAAGAATAGACTGCAAAAGGCCAGGAGGGAAGAGGCCCTATTAGACTAGAGGGTGTGAAAAATCAGGGTGCACGAACCTCACACCCTTGAGGGTCCACAGTGTGCTTCCCCACGAAAGCACTAACCCTGCTCTTGGCATTGCAGAGTGCACACCACAGGGTGGCAGTGCAGGGTGCTCTGCAACCCCAGCCCTGGGGGGTAGCGCACTCAGCTCTGGCTGGATGAGGGCACTGGGATGGTGAGGGTCAGACACTTTGTCATGAAATCCAGCTGGCTAGGACCTGAAGATGCAGCCCTGGAATCTGCCAGCGGCATTCAGATAGCTGCAGAGCTGTCAAGAGGAGAAGGCGGCAGAGGTGTCTTCTGCTGGGGAGTCAGAACTAGCAAGGCGCCCAAGAATTCCAGGGTGCTGCCAGCCCTGTCAGCTCCAGCAGACAGAGCCCCAGGCGGGGATCTGATGCCATTCCTGAGAACCAGCGGGGAGCAGGTTTGGGCAGGGTGGGCGGCATCCTGCTCAGTACCTGAGGCCAGAGCCCGCTTTCGTCCCCACACTGCCTGTCTCCCACCCCCACAGATGATGGCAGTGACCCCCGGCGCTCCGCACCACCTGGCATGGACCCCAGGGAGTACTGCATGTCCGACCGTGACATCGTGGAGGTGGTGCGCACCGAGTACGTGTACACGCGGCCCCCGCCCTGGTCCGACACGCTGCCCACCATCCACGTGGTGACGCCCACCTACAGCCGCCCGGTGCAGAAGGCGGAGCTGACACGCCTGGCCAACACGCTGCTGCACGTGCCCAACCTGCACTGGCTGGTGGTGGAGGACGCACCGCGCCGCACGCCGCTGACCGCGCGCCTGCTGCGCGACACCGGCCTCAACTACACACATCTGCACGTGGAGACGCCCCGCAACTACAAGCTGCGGGGAGACGCCCGCGACCCACGCATCCCGCGGGGCACTATGCAGCGCAATCTGGCCCTGCGCTGGCTGCGAGAGACCTTCCCCCGCAACTCCAGCCAGCCTGGCGTGGTCTACTTCGCTGACGATGACAACACCTACAGTTTGGAGCTCTTTGAGGAGGTATGGACATGGACGGAGCAGAAGGCAGGGAAGGGGCGGGAGTGTGGGAAATGACGCTCTTTCGGAGGCAGGGGCCCTTTGGGTAGGGACACATGGGACACTGTCACCGAGGGGCGCCAGGCTGGAGTTAGTGCAGTCTGCAGGGAACCAGAGAAGGGATGGGAAGCCTGGCTGGAGCCGCAGCAGCCCCTCTGGTTAAAGGGCATGGAGTGCTTGGAGCTGCCGGACCACAGTCCTGCCTCGGGGCCTTGTCTGAGTGACGTGTGGTCCAGGCCTACCACCCTGAACACCAGATCTCTTCTGAATGAGGTGTGGACCAGTTTCCGTGTCCTTGGGTCTGTGAGTCATGCCGTTTGGGGGAGAGGGAGGGTCGTGTCAGACTCTAAATTGGGAAGACAGAGGTTTTTCATCCAGAAAGTGGCTGCAGGGCACATGGAGAGGAGGGAAGACCAGCCGGCTGGTTGCAGAGGCCAAGTTCCACCGTAGATGCCCACCATAGGCACACATCTGGAGACAGGCATAGCCCGAGGCCCCTACATGGCTTCCTGTGGCCTATGAGCCTAGATAAACTGTGTTCAGCTTCTGTGGGGACAAGGCATCACTCCCGATCAGCAGTCCCAGTGTCCTGACTCTGGGTCCCCCTTGTAGATGCGCAGCACCAGGAGGGTGTCCGTGTGGCCTGTCGCCTTCGTCGGTGGCCTTCGGTACGAGGCCCCACGGGTCAACGGAGCAGGGAAGGTGGTCGGCTGGAAGACAGTGTTTGACCCCCACCGACCGTTTGCAATAGACATGGCTGGATTTGCGGTCAACCTGCGGCTCATTCTGCAGCGAAGCCAGGCCTACTTCAAGCTGCGTGGTGTGAAGGGAGGCTACCAGGAAAGCAGCCTCCTTCGAGAACTTGTCACCCTCAATGACCTGGAGCCCAAGGCTGCCAACTGCACCAAGGTAAGGCCCTCAGCAGAACTAACAGTTGTAATGTAAGTGTTTCCAAGCACACCCAACGCTCCCTACAGACCAGGGAGCAGGAAATAAAGGCCTCAATACAGCCTTGGAAAGAACCAGCCTAGAGCCACGCCCTCCGGGAACACCCAGCCAGGAAGGCCTGTTGTCGCCTGTCTGGCAGCCGCACTAAAGTCAAGCAGGGAAATGGGGAAGGTGGTGATCAGTGAGGCAGAGCCGAGGACTGTCCCCTCCCTTACCTCAGAAGAGCTGGGCTCTATGACCTCCCTGCAAATACAAGTACATATGTGCACACCGGGACAAACGCATGCACATACACACACACTTCCTAGTTTGAACTTCTTCAGCTAGGGCCTGGGCTGTCACCTGGCTGAGCTGAAGGCTCCTGAACAATCTTCTCCCTCTCTAGAGACCCATTGAGAAATGCAGGGAGACCTGCCACTGTGGCTCAGTGGGTTGAGTGCCATCCCGTGCACTGAAAGGCCACTGGTTTGATTCCCGGTCAGGGCACATGCCCAGGTTTCAGGCTTGATCCCCGGTCAGGGTACGTGCGGGAGGCAGCCAATAGATGTTTCTCTCTTTCTTCCTCTCCCTCTCCCTTCCTCTCTCTCTCTAAAATCAATAAAAACATATTATTTTTAATCTTTATTGTTGAATGTATTACAGATGTTCCTCATTTTCCCCCCATTGACCCTCTCCTCCCGCCTTTTCCCACACTGTTGTCTGTGTCCATTGGTTATGCATATAAGTTCTTTGGTTTATTTCTTCCCACCCCCCACCCCCTTCTCTTTGAGGTTTGTCGGTCTAGCAATGAATTTGTTCTTCTTAATCTCTTCACCTTTTTCACCCATTCCCCCAACCCCTCTCCCAACTGGCAACCAAAAAAATGTTCTCTGTATCTATGAGAATGTTTCTGTTCTGCCTGTTCATTTTGTTTGTAGATTCCATTGTCGATAGCTATGTATTCATTGCCATTTTGTTTGTTCATATATTTTATCTTTTTCTTCAAAAAGACCCTTCAACATTTCATATAATAATGGTTTATTCCTTTAGCTTTTCCTTGTCTGGGAAACTCTTTATATGGCCATAGATTCTAAATGACATCTTTGCAGGATAGCGTAATCTTGGTTGTAGGTTCTTGCTTTTCATCACTCTGAATATTTCTTGCCACTCCCTTCTGGCCTGCAAAGTTTCTTTTGAGAAATCAGCTGACAGTCTTATGGGAACTGCCTTGTAGGTAACTAACTGTTTTTCTCTTGCTGCTTTTAAGATTCTCTCTCTGTCTTGAACCTTTTGCATTTTGATGATGATGTGTCTTGGTGTGGGCCTCTTGGGGTTCATCTTGTTTGGGACTCTCTGTGCTTCCTGGACTTGTATGTCTGTTTCCTTCACCAAGTTAGGGAAGTTTTCTGCCATTATTGTTTCAAATAAATTTTTTATTTCTTGTTCTCTCTCTTCCCCTTCTGGCACCGCCAAGATGCCAATGTTGACACGCTTGCAGTTGTCCCAGAGGCTCCTTACACTATCTTCATTTTTTTTGGATTCTTTTTTCTTTTTGCTGTTCTGATTGGGTTTGTTTTTTTTTTTTTTTTTTTTTTTTTTTGCTTACTTACATTCCAAATCGATGGTTTGGTTCTTGGCTTTACCTACTCTACTATTGAATCTCTGTAAATTATACTTTATTTCAGTTAGTGCCTCCCTCATTTCTGACTGTGCATCCTTCATTTCTTACTGGTCCTTTTTTATGCTCTTGAGGCCCTCACTAAGTTCGCTGAGGTTCTCACTAAGTTCACTGAGCATCCTCATAAGCAGTATTTTGAACTCAGCATCTGTTAGGTTGCTTATCTCCATTTCGCTTAGTTCTTTTCCTAGAGATTTTTTTCTGTTCTTTCATTTGGGACCTGTTTCTTTGTCTCCTCATTTTGGCTGCCTCCCTGTGTTTGTATTACTTAACGAGAGGTATGGGGCTAGCTGAGACCAGATGCTGCTTGTTTGAAAGAATTTAGGAAAAACCTGAAGCAGGATCCGAGAGGGGCCAATCTTATGGTAAAGCAACTGGCAACAGCTTGGGTGGGCCTAAAAGTTGGGTGGGGCGGGGCCTCAGGGAATCACCAGGGTGGGGCAACCAGTGTGAGCCAGGTTGCTGGAGTCCCAGATATGACAGCATCTGCCACTGCAGGGAAGGGCTCACCAAAGGAACAAAGGCCTCTGACAGCACGTTTGTCCCTGAGAAAGCCCCCTCTCCAGCCCTCGCTCCAGTGCCAAACAGTTCAGTTCTTCGCTGTACGTCTCTGGTGCCCCTCGAGCTGCCTCCCCTCCAAGCTTAGAGGGAGAGAGTCCGATAAGTCCATGCGCGGGCCCTTTAAGAGGAGCTGCCTGGGGCTCCAGCACCCTCAGCCTCCCTGAGCCTCAGTTCCCGCTGGTTTTTCCTGCCAGAAGTGATGGGGATTCTCTTCCTGGCACTGGAACCCTGAGCGGGGCACCTGGTGTGGGACGGGGACCCCTCAGTCCTCAGGGAGGACCTTCTCAGCTGAGGTGTCCTCCTAATTTTTATCCACCACGTGTGGGTATGGGACCAGCCCGTCCCCTCCGCCCCTCCTACCAGTCTCGATGTGGCTGCTGCTTTAATTCCGTAGTTGGAGGACCTCCATTCAGCTCGATGTCAGGCGGTTTTGAATGATGGTTGTTCAGTAGTTTAGCTGTAACTTTGATGTGGTTGTGGGAGGACACAGTACCGCATTTACCTACTCGCCATCCTGACCAGAAGTCCAATAAAAACATATTTTAAAAAAAAGAAAGAAACACAGGCGACAATGAGCAGCAAGTGGAATGTGGATTTACTTGTCTATTTTACTGTTGCTGTACACTGTCTGTTTCCGACAGCTGCTTTGCATCCTATGTCCAAACAGCAAGAGTGAGGGGGTAGGTAGAACAAAGAACAATGGAGGAAAATCTTGCTGGAACAAGGGCAGAGGGACAGGGCAGGAGAAATACTCGCAGAGGTGGGTGGGAGCAGGAGGTGGCAGGGAGAGGTCAGGAGCCGGTGCCATGTTTCCTGTCTCGGACACGCAGATCCTGGTGTGGCACACGCGGACAGAGAAGCCTGTGCTGGTGAACGAGGGGAAGAAAGGCTTCACTGACCCCGCTGTGGAGATCTGAGCCCCAGGATCCAGGTACGGCGGGGCCGAGGGCAGCGATGCCGTTTGAATACAGAGCAGATCTGTCGAGACAGTTCCTCTTGGTCTTTAATTGTGGGAGGACAGGGAAGGGACATGCCAGCAAGAGGGGAAGACACAGCGGAAGCCCCCTCCCCACTGCACTGTCTGGAAACTGGCAGGAGCCAGCTTCCCCCACAGAGGGTCCCGCCAGCACCCCTCGGAAGGCCTCTCCTTCCGGGCGTGGCCTGTTCACTACTGTTCTGGCCCCGAAACCGATCCCGTCACCAGGCCCCCTCCCCCACGCTGTCTTTCTCTGTGGCCGCCCCGCTGTGACAAGGACCCTTACTCGCTGCTTCCGCCTCACCTAGCAGGTCCCTGTGCCTCTCAAGACAACGTGTCTGGCGGGGTGAAAGCGCGGGTCTCAGAGCTGGGGCAGCTCCCGGCCTCCCGCTTCCAGGGCTCGGCCTTCCGTGCTCAATGCTTCAGTTTCTTCATCTGTGAAATGGGCTGCCGGGGTCCCGAGGAGTCTCTGGCGCACAGTAAGCCCCACATACATGCAGCTGTTACTATTTCATTCTTTAAAGCCCCGTGTTGAAGTGGGCCACAGGGTCGACCCACATTTTAGAGGTCAAGAGGTGACGCGAAGGAAAGCCAACTGAGACGCAGCGTGCCAGGGGACCGGCGAGGCCAGGCATTTGCTCTGGGCACTTACTTCCGCTGTCACCACTGAGGGGAGCGCAGACAAGGGCACAAATCTGAACCCTGGCTCTGGCTTACCGCCAGCTTCTTTGTCACCGGGGCCCTGTCCACCGGAACCCCAGGGTGTCCCCTAAACTTCAGAAATCACCTGGGCCGGTGCCTCTGACACCCATCACTTCGGAGCCCCACGCCCCGCCTCCTGCCTCACTCCCCCCAAGGGTTCCGCAGAGGACCCGGCGTGGGGCTCCGGGCAGCTGCTCTGTGAGCCCGGTGGGGGCTAAGGGCCGAGTAGCTTGGCCAGCTGGCCGCTTGGACACCCGCCTCACCCACTGCTCCTCTCCCCTTCACAGGAGCCTCCTCACACCCTGTTCCTGGCCTTCCATCCTCTCCCCACGGTTGATGGCCCCTCCGAGGCAAACTCCAAGGAACGGCCATCATCCGCCTTTCTATTCTGGGCCTTCAGAGCGAGCCCAGCGGCGCCAGGACGAAGGACGGAGAACCTAAAGCACAGAAACCCCAGACCGTTGCTCTCTCCATCCAGCGTGCCCAGGCCCAGCTGCCAGCCAGGCCGCAGTCAGCACGCCGCGGCCGGGCAACCTCTCCAGAGCTTCCTGCCTTGACAGGCCTGCGGGAGCGGACCGGGGCTCACCCAGGCCCGAGTGATGCCACACTTGGCGGGAGGCGAGAAGACTCAGCCGTGGGGAGGAGGGTGGCCCTCCTGGCTCCTGACTCCTAGGGACCAGCACGGCCACACAGGCCAGCCAGCCAGGTCTGAAGACCGGACAGCAGGCCCTGCCCGGGCATCGGGAGCGCCTGTCCCCTCTTCGGAGAGTTGTTCCCAAGTACACGTGCCTCTGTGGTTGTCCTCTAGTCCCTGTTTCCAGAGCATACGTCTGTCTTCGATCCCAACAGGTGACCAACCCTGCATGAGGGGGCCTGGGCCTGCCAGCAGGCTCCCCTGTACCTCAGGCTGTGGTGGGGGAAGAGCCCCTTCCTCTGGCCCGTGCCCCTCAAGCCTGCTCCTTGCAGCACAGAGAAGCAGATGGGCCCTTGAGCCAGCACAGGTCATGGACTGACCTAGACTAAGACCACGTGGGCCCCTGTCCCCACACTGCCACCCCCACTGCCTGCTGGGCTCCAGCGCCCCTGCCTGGCCAGGACGGAGAGGGCAGAAGCCCTCCTCCTGAGCCTTGAGACCTCAGTGGCTCGAGTGAGCAGGAGCAGGAGAGGCAGGGAGAGCAGGGAGGCCGGGGCAACTCCAAGACTCCTTCCTGCCCCTGGTTGGGGGAGGGGACTGCGTTAGCAGAGAGATTTATGGAAAAGGGGCAGAGGTCATCTGAACACTGAGGCGAAAAGATACCTGAGCACACACGACTTTGGAAATCATTCTATTTTAAACACAAAATGAGAAAGAAAATCTCACTTGTCCCTGGTGGGGAGCAGGCAGAGTGAGCCGCCTCGGGGCCCCTGCAGCCTCACGGTGGTTCCGTCCCCCAGGAGGGCAGTGTGTCCTTCCAGGCCAAGGGGCGGCCTCTGGCTTTTGGGCCGGGACAGGGCCCCCTGGTGGTCATCTCGCTCATGCTCCCGAAAGCTGGAAGCACAATGTTCCTCCCCAGAGGAGGAAAAGGAAAGTCTTGAGCCTACTGAAGAGGTGTTTATTTTTTAACCGCTAACAGCACCCACTTCATCTAAACTCACAGGACCAGGCTGAGGACCACAGAGAACCCACTCCTGGGTGGGTGGGGGAATAGGACTTAGTCCGGCAACCTAAACATTAAAAATATAGCATTGGCTGCCTATCGTGAGATGGACTGAATTGACCACAGCAGTCATGACCCGATCCAGTGGGATCTCAGCCCTGAGGACCCTGCGCCACCCTGCAGGACGTCCCCACCTCTTACGTTTTCAGTGGTTGCTGTGAAATCAACCTGAGTCAAGTGGCATGGCGTGGGAGAGAGGGGGCAGTGGGCACAGGGCGACCATCCCACTGCCTCCCGAGACCAGCCCTGAGTGCTCAGGTGAGCTTGGTCTTAGGCCACTTTCTCGGCCAAACAAGCAAACAACCCAGGGCTCATTTTCAGGAAATTGATAATGAACAACAAAATGAGGTCTTTTCTCTTCTTCCCTCCCCTTGATTAGTATTTTTTGGGCAGACACTAGTTGTTTTCGCCCGTGTCCTCTTCCAGCTGCATGTGGATGGATTGATACTGTAACCTGGTGGACTGCAGCCTCCATCTCGTTGGGAATGAGTTTGTTACAAAGCAGAACGCAGTCCGTGACTACAGTTTCTTTTCCAAAGGCGGTCTGCTCCCTGCTCCCCACCCTAGAGGAGTGAGGCTGGGGGTTGGGCGTCTCCAACAGAGACAGGGAGGGTGGAGCCCGTGCCACTGCACCATCTGGTCTGTTTTAATTTAACTGTATTTAATTTGTTTTCAAAAGTAAAAGTCAAATATGGTTTTTAACATCCCTAATTCTCCTCATCCCTGCTTCATTTTATCCCCCTTTATGGCTTTAACCGTCCACCAAATACTTACTTGTCAGGCGCCTACTGTGAACAGGCGTGTTCTAGGAGCCGGCACAGAGCAGTGAGAAGCTGAAGCTCGTGTCTTCACAGAGCGCACCGTCTCACCAGAGGGCCTGGGTGGGCGCAGACAGGTGTGCAGTGTTTCCGATGTGATCTGGTCTGAGGACAATAATGAGGCTGAGTGAGGAGACAGAGTGTAGCTGGGGAGGACCTGATCCCTATACAGGGTGGTCCGAAAGCTCCCCTCCCCCACAATAAGGTGACATCAGAGCCGAATGACAGCATACAGACATGCCATTATCTGGGCCACAGCATTCCAGAAAAGAGAACTCTCTCCCCAATAGGAGAGTGCTTAGCGTGTTTAAAAATCAGCAAAAAAAGCCAGTGTGACTACAACGGACTGGGAAAGGTGGAAGGGGTCAGTGGTGGGAGGTGGGATGGACAGTGAAGGGGAGGGCACAGAATAAGCTGGTTGTCCTGGGAACCAGGGCAAAGTTTTGGCTTCTACAGTGAGTGAAAAGGGAAGCCACTGCAGGGGTTAGAGCAGAGGACGGACATGACCTCCTGATCTTTGAGAAGAACGCCTCCACATTCTGTGCTGACGAGGCAGGAGGGCAGGGGGGGCAGCTCCAGCGATACGCCAGGCGCAAGGTGACGACGAGTTTGGGGCAGAGAGAAGTGGTTGGTTCTGGATGTGTTTAAGAGGGACAGCCAGTCCTGGCCGGTTTGGCTCAGCGGTTAGAGCGTCGGCCTGCGGTCCAGAGAAACCCGGGTTCGGTTCCCGCTAAGGGCATGAATCTCGGTTGCAGTTTGTCCCTGGCCCTGGTTGGGTCGTGCGGGAGGCAGCCACTCGATGTTTCACATCGATATTTCTCTCTCTCTCTCTCCCTCCCACTCTATCTGAACAAAATATTGAAAAATGTCCTCGGGTGAGGATAAAAAAATAAATAAAGAGGGACAGCCAATCTGGGGAGAGAGCTGGAGGGACAGCTGCCAAGGTCCCTATGCTGAGTCCCTCTCCCACATCACCCCCAGGTGCCATTTCTCATGAGTCAAGCACATCCCTCCACATGTCATCAGCTCAGGGGAGTGGACTGACTCCACCTCCCGACTCCCCGCAGCTGCACTTTGTCGAACTCCTGCCCCGAGGAAGCGTCTGCTAGCTGTGGCCAGCCGAGTTCATGGTGCACACTTTCTTGGAATGCTCTTGAGGCCCATGCAGAGTCAGGGTGGCAGAGACAACAGGGAGACACCAAGTTGTGTGGCTCTAGGATGGGGGCCTTTTTCCCCTTGCACACCCAACTGATGCAGAGCCTTCCCTCCATATAGCCAAATCTTCATCTCCTTTAGCTCAACAAACTCTGATGGCCTCACCCTAATGACTCCCTAAGGCCCCATCCAACCACAAAGGTCTGTAGGCCCCAGCAGGTGGCAGCTGTCCTTGGTAAACCCTGAGACTTTTGCTGAGTGGCCTCAGACCCAGCACTGGTGCTGAGTTTGAATCTGTATCAACCTGATGAACACTACCTGTCCTACTGAGAACCTACCTCACACAACTCACATACCTTTGAAGGTTCTTTCAGGGACTGAGCCTAACAGACAGCTGGCAGGTGGAGGTGGATGTTGGGGTGCCTTGGGCCTTTAGCTGACTTGCCCCCAGACTCAAGTCTTGTGGAAGGCTGTTTTACTACACAGCTTGGCCCTTCCCATGCACACCCAGGCCCAGCAAAGGCAACCAAAAACTGTGTATTGCTTTGTAGCTGCAAACAGGTAGCCCAAGGCTGATCACAGGAAGCTTCTAACGTTGATCTGCACCGGAGCCCCTCCCAAGAGGCCCCAGAACCAACACACAACAGGCTTCAGTCCACATCAGAGCAGGACCAAGTTAGCTCCATAAGCAGAACACTCAAAGGGAAATCTTTGTAGGCATCAGACCCTGCTGGCGTGAATTCTGCTTCATGTGGTCATCACCTGCCCAGCAGCTCATACACTGTGGTCGGGGTCAGTCTTCACAGTCAGCCCCCTCACAGGTGGGCCAGCAGCAATCAAGACAAAACAACAACAGGAGGGCTCACATAACCCACACAATGGACACCCCTGGAGCACTCAGCTCAGGTGATCAGGTAGACTGTGCCACTGAGCCCCACAAGACACCTACTACCGTAGGCCAACCTACTAACAATGGTAGACATAGCAGAACTACCTAATTACAGAAGCAGTCACAAAAAGAAAACCAAATGGGGAGACAAAGAAATATGCCCCAAATGAAAGAACAGGAGAAATCCCCAGAAAAAAAGATGAAATGGAGGCAAGCTATCTACCAAATACAGAGTTCAAAACATTGTTATAAGGATGCTCAAGGGGAAGAATAGATTAACTCAGCCAGAACTTAAACAAAGGGATTGTAAGAATAAAAAGAATAAAAGGGAACACAGAAACCATAAAAAAAGAACCAGTCAAAAATGAAGAATAAAATATCTGACATGAAGAATACACTAGAAAGAATCAACAGCAGGTTAGATGAAGCAAAGGATTAAATCAGCAATTTGGAAGATAAGTAGTAGAAAATACACAATCAGAGTTGCAAAAAGAAAAAAGAATTTTAGAAAATAAGGATAGTTTAAGGGACCTCTAGAACAATATCATGCATAACAAAATCCACATCACTTGGCTAGTATGGCTCAGTGGTTGAGTGTCAGTCCATGCACCAACAGGTCACCGGTTCAATTCCTGGTCAGGGCACAAGCCCAGGTTGTGGGCCAAATGGTCAGTCAATGTTCTCTCTCATCAATGTTTCTATCTCTTTCTCCCTCTCCCTTCCTTGCTCTCTAAAATCAATTTTTTTTTAAATCCACATCATAGGGGTACCAGAAAAATGTGAGAAAGCAAGGGATTGAGAACCTATTTGAACAAATAATGACTGAAAATTTCCCTAACCTATCAAAGGAAAAAGACACACAGTCTAGAAAGCACAGAGAGTCCCAAAAATGATGACCCCAAAGAGGCCCACACCAAGATATGTCATAATTAAAATGACAAAGGTTAGCCCTGGCTGGTTTGGCTCAGCGGTTAGAGCATCGGCCCACAGACCGGAAAGTCCTGGGTTCGGTTCCCACTGGGGACATGTACCTCGGTTGCAGTTTGTCCCTGGCCCCAGTTGGGGTCGTGTGGGTGGCAGCCACTCAATGTGCCTCTCTCACATTGATGCTTCTCTCTCTCTCTCTTCCTCCCTCTCTCCTTCCTGCTCTATCTAAAGATAAATGCAAAAGTGTCCTCGTGTAAGGATTAAAAATAATAGTAATGACAAAGATTAAAGACAAACAGAGAATCTTAAAAACAGCAAGAGAAAGACAGTTACCTACAAGGAAACTTCTATAAGACTGTTGGCTGATTTCTCCACAGAAGCATTTCAGGCCAGAAGGACTTGGCAGGGGTTGTTTAAAGTGATGAAAAGCAAGGAGATATAACCAAAACTACTCTACCCAGAAAGTCTATCATTTAAAAATTGAAGGAGAAATAAAGACCTTCTCAAACAAGAAAAAGCTAAAGGAGTTCATTACCACAAAACCAAAATTATAAGAAATGTTAAAGGGTAAAGAAGGAGAAGGAGAAGAAGAAGGGGAGGAGGAGGAAGAGGAAGAAGAAAAGAGGGAGAAGAAGAAAAGAGGAACATAATTATAAAGGATAAAATGGAAATAAATACATACCTATCAATAATCACTTTAAATGTAAATAGATTATTGTGCCAAAGACATAGGGTAGCTGAATGGATAAGAAACAAGACCCATACACATGTTGTCTACAACAGACCCACCTCAGAATGAAAGACACGCACAGATTAAAAGTAAAGGGATGGGGCCCTGGCCGGTTTGGCTCAGCAATTGGAGCGTTGGCTCACGGTCTGGAGAGACCGGGGTTCGGTTCCCGCTAAGGGCACATACCTCGGTTGCAGTTTGTCCCTGGCCCCAGTTGGGGTTGTGTGGGTGGTGACCACTCGATGTGTCTCTGTCACATCAATGTTTCTCTCTTTCTTCCTCTCTCCCTCTTGCTCTATGAATGCAAAAAGTGTCCTCAGGAGAGGATTAAAAATAATAATAATAAAGGGATGAAAAAGATATTTCATGAAAATGGAAATGAAAAAGAAGCTGAGGTAGCAATACTAACATCAGACAAAATGGACTTAAAACAAAGGCTATAATAAGAGACAAAGAAAGACATTACATAATGATAAAGGGATCAATCCACCAAGAGGATATAACACTTATAAACACTTATGCAACCAACACAGGAGCACCAACATATATAAATTGAATCTTGATGGACATAAAGGGAGATATCAACAGTGATAGTCATAGTAGGAGATTATAACACCCCATTGACATCAATGAACAGATCTTCCAGACAGAAAATCAACAAGGAAACAGTAGCCTAAATGACACACTAGACCAGATAGATTTCATTGATAGTTTCAGAATATTTTCACCCCAAAGCAGAATTCATTCTTTTCAAGTATCCAGGGAATGTTTTCCCAGATAGACCACACATTAGGCCACAAAACAAGTCTCAATAAATTGAAAAAGACTGAAATCATAACAAGCATCTTCTCTGACCATAATGGTATGAAACTAGAAATCAGTTACAAGGAAAAAACTCAAAAACACACAAACACATGGAAGCTAAATAACATGTTACTAAACAATGAGATCAAGGAAGACATTAAAAGATACCTTGAAGCCCTGGCTGATTTGGTTCAACAGTTGGAGCATTGGCCTGCGGACCAGAGAGTCCTGGGTTCAGTTTCCGCTAGGGGCACATACCAAAAAACAATACACACACACACACACACACACCTTGAAGCAAATGGGAGTGAAAACACAACACAATATCTATGAGACACAGTGAAAGCAGTCCTAAGAGGAAAATTCATAGCATTACAGGCCTACCTCAAGAAACAAGAAAATTTCAAGTAAACAATCTAGTCTTATACCTAAACGAGTTAGGGAAAAAACATCAAAGCCCAAAGTGAGTAGAAGAAAGGAAATAATAAAGATCAGAGTGGAAATAAATGAAATCAAGCCTTAAAAAACACAAAAGAGCAATGAAACCAAGAACTGATTCTTTGAAAAGATAAAAAAAGATTGATAACCCTTTAACCAGACTCATAAAAAAAAAAAAAAAAGGATCCAAATAAATAAAAACAGAAATAAAAAACATCAGGAGGAACACTCTGTAAAGTATATGATTGTCTCACCACTATGCTGTGCACCTGCAACTAATACAAAATAATATTTAAAAGTGTATTACTATTTTCAACTGTAATTGAAAATAAAATAAAATAAATAAATGAAAGAGAAATAACAACTGTAAAGTATACTATAATAAAGGACTATAATAAAATATGACAACTATATGCCAACAAATTGGACAATCTGGTAGAAATGGATACATTCCTAGAAACATACAATCTTCCAAAACTGAATCAAGATGAAACAAAAATTCTGAACAGACTGATTACAACTAATGAAATAGAAGCAGGAATCAAAAAATTCCCAACAAACAGCCTGGCCAGTGTGGCTCAGTACTTGAGCGTCAACCCATGCACCAAGAGGTTGCCGGTTCAATTCCTGATCAGGGAACATGCCCAGATTGTGGGCCCAATCCCCAATGGGAGGCATACAGGAGGCGGCCAATTGATGTTCTCTCTCATCAATGTTTCTATCTCCTTCTCCCCTCCTCTCTCTCTAATATCAACAAAGAAAAAAAAATTAAATAAAAAAATTCCCAACAAACAAAAGTTCTGGACCAGATGGCTTCACAGGTGAATTTTACCAAACATTCAGAGAACACCTATCCTTCTCAAACTATTCCAAAAAATTCAAGAGGAGAGAAAAGTCCCAATCTTATTATATGAGACTAGCATTATCCTAATTCCAAAACCAGATAAAGACACTACAAAGAAAAAAATTATAGGCTGATATCCCTAAAGAACATGCTAGAATCCTCAACAATATATTAGCAAACTGGATTCAGCAATGCATTAAAAAGATCATAGCCCTGGCCAGTTTTGATCAGCGGTTGGAGGGTCGGCTCAGGACCAAAGAGTCACGGGTTCGATTCTGGTCAAGGGCACTTACCTTGGTCGTGGTTCAGTCCTTGGCCCTGGTCGGGGGCGTGTGGGAGGCACACAATCCATGTGTCTCTCTCACATCAATGTTTTTCTTTCTGTTTCTCACTCCCACTCTATCTGAAGATAGATGGAAAAATATCCTCGGGTGAGGATTGAAAAAAGAAAAAAAGGTCATACACCACGATGAAGTGGGATTTTTCCTGGGGCCCAAGCTTGGTACAATATCTGCATATCAGTTAACACAATACACCACATAAACAAAATGAAGGGTAAGAGGGACAGCCAAGAAGGTTTGCTGATGAACTGGATGTGGGATATTCAAGAGAGGAGCTAGAAGTCATCTGAGACACAATAGACTTTCCACTTTTGGAAACGGAGCAGTGAAGGAGGTGGCATGGCAGTGACTGGAGTTCAGTGTTACATGCCTATCAGGCACACGCAGGAGAGAAGGCGAATGGGTGGTGGTCAGTGTGCCCAGAGCTCGGGTGAAGATGACCATTGGAGTGTAGAGTGTCAGGCTATCTACAAGCCCCAGGTGGATGGAGCCACCATTGTGAGTGTGGACAGAGGGATGGGCCAGAAATAGGCCTGGAGCCCATCAGCATTTAGAGGCTGGGATTATGGGAAGTAGTCTTCAGGAGACGGAGATGAGGCCGTCCAGCTGAGAAGATCTGCACAAATGTGAGTCAACTCTGGAGGGTGATCTCGGGGTGTCGACGGGGAAGCTGCAGGAGGCCTCACCCTAAGAAAGGGCCCGTGCATCCCTGGGTAGATTTGCTTGAGAAGTAATTCAAGGGGAGTCTTCATTTTACAAATGGATTCACCGAAAGATTCCTTTAAATACCAGTTTCCTTTTATATTTTCCAATAGAAGCCAACTGACATACAGCTTTGCAGCAGCACATTCTGGCGCAAAGCGAGAGCAGGCACCGTGCTCCCCAGTGCGGGCCGTGCCCAAGTGTCCCGGGCTCATCCCCGCCTTAGCTCCGTGCTTTCGCTTCCAAAGCCGTTCAGGAATAGCTGGTGAGTTTGGCCAAGATTGGGACTCTGCCCCATATGGCCACTCAGCCGTTGTCCATGCTTTTCACTTTAATAAGTCTCATTTCTCTGCTCCCAGTGAACCCTTGGGCCCAGGCCTGTCACTGTCTGTCCTTGATGCAGCTCAGCCCTGGTGCTCAGGGGCTGCATCCCACAGCTGCCCCCAGGGAAAACCCTCTCCTTCAGCAAGCACAGGACCAGACTGTGAGGCTGCTGGGGGCCTCAGCAGGCTATTCCCCGGGTTTTTGTTTTTTTAATCCTCACCTGAAGATATTGTCCATTTACTTTCAGACAGAGTGGGAGGGAGGGAGAGAGAGAGAGAAACATTGACAGAAGAGAGACACATCCATTGGTTGCCTCCCACACGGCCCCAACCAGGGCCAGGGACCGAACTGCAACTGAGGCACGTACCCTTGATCGGAGTCGAACCCATGACGGGCCAACACTCTAACTGCTGAGCCAAACCAACCAGCCCCCGCCCCCTCCCGTCTTCATGGGCTCCTGGTGTAGGCACTGTGCTGGGGAGGTGTCTGCTATTTGACTTGACTATTATTGAAGATAATTAGTTCATGGCAGGACAGTCCAGAGGGCATCTGTGAAGAAAACGCCCACGGTAGCTGACTCACATGGAGAGCTCTTGGCTGCCCAGCAGACTCACCCTCTGCCCACCCACACCAGACTGGATCCGTACTGGCCTTCTGTCCAAGGGCACTTCCAGGCCACACTGGCATCCCAGGGGCTGGAGGTCAGGAGGCACGCGGGCGGGAGCCGGCGTCTGGACACTGAGGGCCAGCTGGCCTCGCTGCACACTGCCTTTGCCTCTGGCGAACAGCAGCGCAGACGGGAGCAGAGAAATACCACCAAAGAGGATTTCATTCAACTCTACTGCTTTATTGCAACACGTGACAGCAAACCTGAGCCAACTGGAACCGATCCCCAGAACAAGTGCTTCCGCTGGGGCAGAAACTACGAAGGACGAAGGACAGCTGCTCCTCCTGCCATGCAGCCACAGGAAGGTGAGGGAAGGACCCTGGCAGTGGCGAGGTCGGCCCACCATCCCCCCGGCCACCCACCACGCCACAGAAGCTGGCCTTCCACCCTTGCCCTCCGGTGCCCTCTGCCGGGGCGCGGCTTCTGCTGGGCTCCGCGCTCCCTCTTCTCGCTGAACAGAACAGAAGTCTCTCTAATGCAGGACAGTGAGGGGCTGAGATGTTCTCTGCAGCTCGGCTTGTCATCCTGGCAGGTGCATTTAGAATGGGGATGGAAAGAAACATGTGCGTCTCTCAGGTGGAATTTTTTCCAGAATCAGAGAGAAGGCTCGGGGAGCGTTGTGAAGAAACGGGGCGAAGGGGTAAGACCCCCACCCCAACTACCGTCCACAATGACAAAGCCACTATTTCGGAAGCAAAAGGGGCCCCGAGGGGTGGCAGGCCAGATGAGTTCTTCGGAGCATATCCTACACAGCGGCCCCGCCAGCTGTCAGGACCTCCCTGGACGCCCGGCCCACGGGGAGATCTGACCGGTCTCATCCCAGACAGGCAGCCCCTGTCCTCGCCGAAGAGCAAGGTGCAGGAAAGGTGCCATCAACAGGGTCCAGTCGAGAAGCCACTCGGGTAGAAGGTGTCCCTCCCTCGCCATCCCACTCGTCTTCTTCGGCGCAGTCAGGGTGACAGTCCCGCCCTGGAGCAGTGGGCAGCCGCCCAGCCCTCGGCCCCGAGGCCACCCTGAAGCGAACGGTCCCGATGGGCATGGGTGAGGCCGCACAGCAGGCCCCGGTCCAGCGAGGAGGACACTCTGCTTCAGTTCAGGTACTGACTCCTGCCCAGACGGGGTGCGTCAGAGAACTGTAGCATAGGGCCTGCCATCTTCTCCTCGAAAACAATGACCTGGGAGAGAAGGGCTGGGGTATGACAGCAGCTGAGGTTTGTCTTAGAGCCAGAGAGGGAGCCTCAGGAGAAGGGGTTGGGAGCCGGGCTGGAAGGAGCAGGACCCGCAGCTCATCAGCAGGAGGAGCCTGGAAGGAACTGGCTGACATGTCCACCCTCCTGCCCTGAACGGCCTCGGGAGACTGGCAAGGGCGCCCTGCCTCCCCCTGAGGAACACTGATGCCAGGGAGGGCAGGATAAGAGGGGTCCTCAGGAGAATGGGAGGGGCTTCAAGTGCTCCCACCTGGTTGATGCCTTGGTCCAACCAGGCACCTGGGAGGTAGAGTGTCTCCTGGGGTCCGATGTTCCAGTAGCGCCCCAGGTTTTGGCCATTGATGAATACAACCCCCTTCTGCCAGCCCTTTAAGCAGAGCAGGGTACGTATGAGTCAACCACAAGAGCCAGCAAATGTAAAGCCCCACAGGAAGGTAGAGACAGACACACGCTCTCATCCTTCCCTTGGCATCCAAAGACCAAGGTGCACGGGTGTTTTGACCGCCACGAGAGTCCCAGGTGGGGCGTTTTGTCTCCCAACAGCTCTAACCTCCCAGGCAGGGTACCAAGCTCTGCCTGGACGCAGGAACCCAGACGCTGAGAAGTACCACCAGGTGGTCCTCTGCTTTGAGCCCACTCGCTCCACCCCAGGAAGGCCCCAGGGCCCCTGCGGACAGGGCAGCACAGAGACGGGGACCGTCCGGGCACGGGTGACAGACAGGGCTCCAGCGAGGCCTCGGAGAGCCGCGTGGGGAGCGAGCCCTCCTCAGAGCTCAGGCTCAGAGCACCTGAGGATGGACGAGAGCCAGGGCGGGGCGGGAAGGGGGGGCGGTGCACAGACCTCCAGCTTCATAAAGGTGTCCAAAGGGGAAAGGGCAACAGGCAAGGCACCCAAGAAGAAAGCAGGGTACACAGGTGCTTCAGGGACAAGGCTCCATGCGCTGGAGGTGAATCTGTGGACAGAGGAGAGGAGGAAGGAGGGCTCCTTCGCGATCCGGGCCCAGCCCCGCATCTAAGTGCAGAGGCACCTGCCGACCAGGCCCAGGAATGGCAGCAGGGCGGTGCGGGGAAGCCGAGTCGCCAGCCCAGCACGGCCCCGCCGGGCAAGCTGCGGGCCTGGTCTGCTCACACCTGGTGAGAGGAGGGCACGGCTGCAGCGCTCGGCCAGCCTGCGCTCTCTGCGAGTCACCGAGGGTTCACGCGCTGCCTTGGCGGGGACCCACCTCTGAAAGAAGCTCCTTGTCATGTCCAGGCTGTAGATTCTAAAGTTTTTCAGGGGAGAATTATTCAGATAGATATTTCCAATTAAACCTGCGGGACGGAGGCAAGGAAACATGAGCAAGGCCAAAGGCAGGGGACGGCTGGGCTGGCTGCTGCAGGCACATCCATGGAAGGTTTCCGGGAAGTTCAGGTGAGGATTTCTCCTGAAGTCTGTGCTCCCGACGGGGTCGAGACAGGGCACAAACCTCCCCCTAAGCCGCAAAGGGGATGAGAGGGAGGAGCACTGTTTGCCAGGCCCTGGGATTTGCACGGAAGGACACACCGAAGGCAAGGGCAGAGCTGAGAGCGTCAAGGGCGAGACGGCCTGAGGGGGGAGCTCCCTTTGGGGGTCTGAGAATTCTGATACCGTGAGGTGAGGCCCACGGCAGTTCTAGCCTAGCTTCAAGGTCAGTTTTGGTGGGGTCCCAGACTAAACAGACATTACAACTCAGCCAGAATCTTTTATGTGAACGAGGGTTAAATAAAGATAGATGTATTTTAAGTATTTAAATTGTAAACTGATGGCACTATGACTTGGGTGCCCAAGTCTGGGGACTAGCACACACTTGGACTGAGATTAATTTGTGCCTGGGGGCAGGGGGCAGCTCTGTGGTCCTGGAGCAGACCCGTGGTCTCTGGACCACGCAGCTGTTGAGCTGCTCGGGTGCGAATTGAGATCAGCTGGAGAATGAGACCAACGTTCATGGGGCCTGCGGACTCTAGAATTGCAGGTCCAGGGGTATGGGGAACACACACATTTCTGGAACAGAGGTCTGTGACTATGAACACTGAACCGTCCCGAGGATGGGACCTCCACAGTGAGAATCCAGGGCACAGCAGGACCAGGGGCCTGGGAGGCAGACGGGAGAGGGTCCGGCTGGCAGTCCCACCCACAGCGGGGCCAGGGGCCTGGGAGGCAGACGGGAGAGGGTCCGGCTGGCAGTCCCACCCACAGCGGGCCAGGGGCCTGGGAGGCAGACGGGGGAGGGTCCGGCTGGCAGTCCCACCCACAGCGGGACTGGAGAAGAGCCTGGAGAGGGAGCTACCTGGGGGAGAAGCTGAGACCAGGTCAGAATGCTGGGGCACCGATAGGGAGAAGGGAAGGGAAGCCGGGACAGTGATGGAGGCCACCCTGAGGCCCTTCCAGAGAGGGCGGATCCCAGGGTTCAGGAAGCCCCGGTGCTGGACCACGTGGCCTCCCTGGCAGGCAGCAGCAGACCCGCAAGTTTCCTCATTACAAAGGCAAATGCCCATGAGAGAGTTGGGAGGTCACTAATGTCCCTCACTACGGTAGGATTTATTTTGTCTGAGTTCTTATTTCATAACTCACATGAAAAACCAACATTTAATAGACAGATAGAGGAGGCAAATTCAAGCAGAGGTTCAGAAAGCCAGAAAAGCAAGACGAACTGTAAAACATTCGCAGAGGGGCAGGCGTGAGGAGCAGGCGTCAAGAGGGTGTGTTGACTGTGTATCCTGGGTTCTCCTTCCCACACGGATGAAATCATCAGTGGGTTTCCAAGGTGGATCAAGAAAAGAAATGCAGGGTGGACACCCAAAAAGGTAGGAGCCTTATGCCTTTCTTTTGGATTTCTGGGTATCCCCTTCCTTGCCCCTCAAACCCCCCCTCCATCTACCAGCAGACAGAGCCCCGCTAAAGCGGACAGAAGCCTAGGCAGCTGCGGAGGAGCCAGCTCATGTTCACTGTGCATTCACCACGGGCACGTGGACCACACACAGGGAGTGACAGGGAAGGGGCAGAACCCAGGTGGGCCTTTCAGACCCACTTCCACCTCTGCCCAATAGACCTCCAGGTCCCGCCCCCCTGCACCGGGCCTCAGGACCCGCCTCCCTACACTGGGCCTCCTGACCTGCCTCCCTGCACTGGGCCCCCAGGACCCGCCTCCCTGCAATCAGCCTCGTGGGCTGCTGAGGGGCTGAAATGGAGAAAGGACAGCCAGGCACAGGCTGAGTGACAGCAGCTCTCCTCTCAGCATGTGCTGTGACCCACCTTTGCGCTGATCATCGATATTCCCATAGTTGACTCGCCCGCAATTCTCCACCAAGATCCTCAGCATGGTGTAACCCTGCCAGGAACACAGTGGTCGAAGGTCACTGCCTGATCGCCCAGCAGTAAGGTAGCAGCGCAGTGAGGTCGCGGCTCCACCTGGGAGTGTCTCCGTGGAACTCCGGTTTCCCCTAAGCTCCAAGGACAGGAGTGACAGCGCCCCTGCTGGTCAGAGAGCAGTGCTCCACCCTGCTCTCCAGGTAGGGCTCCGGCCAAGGAGCCTCCTGTATGCCAGGCTTTCCTCTTTGCTACCCACCAAACCTGCTCAGAAGTGGCTGGTGCTGGCCACCACCCAGCTCCCCAGGAGACAAACCTGGATCAAGGGGATAATGATCTTCTTCCTTTTATAGTCCAAGAAGCCAATAGATACCGTGTTCACAAATACCTGCCAGAAAGACAGACAGAAAGCATCTGTGGGCTGACAGGAGGGAGGAGGGAGAGGAATCTGCTAAGCGGAGACAGCGGCCACTGTGCACCTGTGTGAAAAGGCCCGCATGGCTGGTGTGATGGCCCACCTCCACACGCTGCTCACGGCCGGGTATGTGAGTGCTCAGGGAGGTCTACTGTAAGGCCTGATCACCACGAGGTCATAGGAATCAAGAGGAGACACTCCTACCTGTCCCCGGTCACGCACAATGCCACTGAGGACGCCAGGTGAGTCAATGGTTGTCTCGTACAGAGTGTACCCGAAGGACTGGCCATTTCCATTATTTACTGGCAAATTCTCCATGTTGATGGGCTTTTCAGAATTGGTTGGCTGGATGAAGAAAAGACAGGTCTGGCTGGTGTGGCTCAGTGGTCAAGCGTTGACCCAGGCCCCAAGAGGTTGCCCGTTCGGTTCCTTATCGGGGCACATGCCCAGGTTGTGGGTCCAATCCCCAGTCAGGGGCATGAAGTAGGCAGCCAATCGATGTTCTCTCTCAACGATGTTTCTCTCTCTCTCCTTCTCACTTCCTCTCTCTCTAAAATCAATAAAGGAAAAAAATTTTTTTTTAAAAAGGCAAGACAGGAGGAGGCCGAGGGCTAGGCAGAGGGAGGAAAGGCAGCAGCCTCATCTTGGCCCACTGGGGGAGAGCAGGGAACAGACCCCCCCTGGGGCTAGTGCACTGGGAGGCCGTGGGGCATGGGGCCTCCCACATTTTTTTCTACCTTGATTTCTCTTGGCTCTCCAGAGTCTCAGGGAAGGGGGATGTGGAAGAGAAGGATGTGAGAATAACAGAAGGAAGCCTGGTGACACAGTGGCCTTGTCGCTCTTTAATCCACCACCACCCATCAGAGCACCCTCCGCGTCAGCCAGAGGAGGTGCACCCTCCGCGTCAGCCAGAGGCGGTGCACCCTCCGCGTCAGCCAGAGGAGGTGCACCCTCCGCGTCAGCCAGAGGCGGTGCACCCTCCGCGTCAGCCAGAGGCGGTGCACCCTCCGCGTCAGCCAGAGGAGGTGCACCCTCCGCGTCAGCCAGAGGAGGTGCACCCTCTTCTCAGAGGAGGTGCAGCGGTCCTGCCCCCTCCCACTGAGCCTGCAGAAACGGAATCCCCACTGTGCTACCCAGTATTTCTCAAGTTCTTTTGTTCTTCCCCACTTCCCAGTAGCATGCGTCTGTCCTCTTCACTGAGATCTAAAGCTGGAGAGTGGACCTCACAGTTATCGCGAGTTGGTTTTCTCTTCCTCCAAGACAGCGGCTGGGAGGGCTTCCTGGCCTTGCTGCCTGTGGGCAGCGCTCACCTTGTCCAGGTACTGGAGGGCATCCCACAGCGACAGGTACAGAGCTGGCCTCAGTGACTCATATGCAGTCTTGGGAAGAAGCGCAGGTGGGGGAGGCAGAGGGGAGCCTGCAACACAGACAGCAGGGCCGTCCCTCAGGACCAGGTGTACTGCCCCCTCCAGCCCCCAGCCCTGGCCCCTGTGCACAGCCCAGTGTGCTCTCAGCCCCAGGGCCAACAGGGAAACAGGCCCGCCCTCTGCCACGCCCGGACCCCACTGGGAAGGGAAGGCCAGGGGAGCACAGGGGCTTTCTCAAGTCCTCAGCAGTCTCAGCACCTCTACAGAACGGCAAACCACCTGGCAAGACACAAACCACGACGTAAACAGCCTCCCAAACCTGTCGCAGGCGTTCTTGCACACAGACCAGCTCGGGGGAGACGGGGTGGTGAGAGGGCCCACTGGGGCCGGGGTTTGCTGCTCGCCGGTACCTGAGATGGAGCCAAAGAACTCTCGGAGCTTGAAGAACTTCGCTGTGTAATCCCCAGCCTCGGTCAGCACCGCGTCATAGTCTGCGAGACACCGGGGCCCTGCCGCTGACCCCGTGTCCCCGTGTGTGTGGCAACAGAGAGGGGGGAGCCGCTAGGGTGGGGCAGCGCGGTCCTCACCCAGCGATTTGGGAGCAAAACACTCTGGGCTGTCAGTCAAAAACTATAAATACTGAATTTGTAGTAAATAGATCCTAAAATTCTAGGTGTCTTTCCTGCCTTTTGGAGGGCAGGGGTCCCGTCATCTCCAGGGCCTGAGCAGGGAGAAGAGGCTGCTCTCCATAAGGACCGCCTCCCGGGGGTCCCCTTCCACCCTCCAGCTGCCCCAGAGCTCGCAGGCGGGTCAGCAGGCGTCAGTTCCCCACTGCTCTGGAAGGTTAGGTGACAGTCCAGCCCGAACCTCCACCTTCCGGCCCGGCACTCCAGAGCCAAACACGTTAACAGCACCAGAGCTGTCCCTAAAGGACTCTCCGTACAGACCCAGACACACAAATGTTGGGGTGTTCCAGGGAGGGTCAGTATTGGGGAATACTTGCCATAGCTGGTGACATCAGACTTGTATTCGTCAAAATGCATGGCTCCATTTATGAAGCCAAAATTGGTGCCTCCGTGGAACATGTAGAGGTTGATGGAAGAGCCAGCATCGATGATGGCAGACACCGTTTTCAAAACCTCTGAGGAGTGGGGAGGGGACGTGCAGAGTGAGCTCGAGTTCGGAGCGAGCCTCAGTCCTGTGGACATTCTCAGCTCCCCCAGGCCCGCCGTGAACTCAGCTCCGTGGCTCTGCCCTTCGGCGTTCTCTACAACCACAATCACAGGCGGAGGAAGAGACGGCGCCAGAACCCCAGGCCCAGAGCTGGGGCTTCAGCTGTTTTTAAAATCACAGCCAAACCCCAGCCAGTCGGGCTCAGCAGACCGTCGGCCCGCTGACCAAAGAGTCTCAGGTTTGATTCCGGTCAAGGGCACATACCTTGGTTGCAGTTCAGTCCCTAGCCCTGGCTGGGGTCACGTGGGAGGCAACCAGTTACTGTGTCTCTCTCACATCAATGTTTCTCTCTCCCCCTCCACTCTGTCTGAAGATAAATGGAAAAATATCCTCGGGTGAGGATTCAAAAATAAATAAATAAATAAATAAATAAATAAATAAATAAATAGTCAATCAATCAATTACAGCCACTGACTACGACTTGGACACCTGCCGCCCAGGGCAGCCTTCTGCCCCCATGCTTCTAAACTGTGACTCCCACTTTCTAAGATACAAAAAGGTAGAATTCAAAATTAGAGAGATAGGCTGACTACTTCCCCAATCCAACCTTTATTAGAGAATGAACCAATGACATGAAAAGGCAGTTTTGAAGGAAAAATATAAATGGTCAATAAATATAAATATATACGCCTCAGTATTGGTCAAAGAAATGCAAAGTAACAATGACCTATCAGAATGGCAAATATTAAAAATTATTTTAATACTGAGTGTTGATGAATCTGTGAGGAATGTTTATTCTCCTTTAATAATGGAGAGTTAAGAATTGCTACAATCTTTCTGGAAAGTAGTTTAATAAATATTTATCAAAATTGTACTCATGTAGAAATTGTATTGCTAGGAATGTCTCAAAGGGAAAAAATATGCCAGGTATGCAAAACTGCATTTCAAGAATGATCACTGAAATGGTATTCAATTAACAAAAAACACGAAACAACCTAGGCATACATCAGTAAGAGATTAGGTAAAGACACTGTGATGTAGCTGGCAATACAATGGGCTTCTTTGCATTCTTTAAAACAGCGATGGAGTGTGTATCTAATATTACAGAAAGCTGTCCGTCTGCATCATTCCCTGGCACCAGCAGGTGATGGTTCTGCACAGAGAACAGACATGAGGGTACTCGTCTGCATCTCCACCTGTAGTGCACATGGGGCTGCAGACAGGTAGCGAGAAATGCCTGGACAGAGACGTCACAGCGTTTGCTCTGGGCTCTAGGATTTTTGTTTTTTCTTTATACATTTTCTCTATTTGCTGGATGTTTGCAATAGGCATATGTTACTTATCTACTTACAAAAGCATAATAAAGCAATGTTCAAAGTCTTATTGCTCACTTCAAATGTCAGGACAATGATTCTGGAATATCAAAAGCGGACTATTACATGCACGTAACCTGAGAATCAATTAACAGGTTATTGGAACATATTTCTACACGCCTGTTGGATGTAGGTATTGCAAGCACTTACCAGAAGAATCCAGGATGTTGTGTGGGCCTCCCCAGGAGTCAAACCACCCTGTCCAGTACTCCATCACCATCTTGGGCTGAACCCCCTAGGCACCACAAAATGAAAAGTTAGCTGGTCAAGAGAGGCAGGCGGAGGGGGAGCCTCCCTGGAGGGGAATGCCTACCCCTCTGTCCTGCCAGCTCTCCCTCTGGCCTCGGGGCCACTGAAAGCAGAGCACAGAGGCTGCCCAGGCTCAGCCTCTGTGTGCGGCCTCCCTGCTGCAGGTGCAGTGGAACGAGCTCCCAAGGGTGACGCAGGAGATGCTGCTGCAGACGCTGCTGGTGAGAGAACACGGGGGTCTGTGCAAAGCTAACCTTCGTCAGAATTCACATCTGCTTTGAGTGCCTTTTCCCACACTGACTTTTCCTACATTGACTTGCGTTCTGGGCCAAGCCCAGCTTTGCCCGTCCTCTCCCAAGGAAGGACACCCATCTGTCAGGATGGCCACCCTGCGCGCACTCTGTGGACGCAGCGCCCTCGCTGCTGCTTCCTTTCCGTGGGAAGTCAGCAGGCTGAGCAGGGCCCTTCTTCGAGGTCCAGTGAACCTTCGACAGAAGTTTGAGAACCTCGAGTCTAAGAGCAGGACACTGTCATGCGGCTACTCAGAGAGCAAGCTCTGGGAGCACGACGTCTGCGTCACGGCCTGGTGAGGACGCTCAGCAAGGCGTGAACGTTACTTAAGAATACCAGCCCTGGCGTGGGGCATCCCAGGAGGCAGACATGGCTCCCAGGACCATGCCTGTGTGTTTGCAGGAGCCCAGGGCAGCACCGGCTGGGTGGTGAGGACGGACATGCTGGGGTTTCAGGTCCACACAGAGCCGTCCTCCGTCACCAGGTACCTCCTCTATCAGTGACAGCAATACGTTTAGAGGCAACTGAATACAAAATCTGATCCCAGGTGAAGGGGTGGACTCATGGGCCATTGAGTAGAAGGTACCAACCATGTCAGGGGAAAAGCCAAAGCAGTGCGATAATTATTTTGGCAAGACTGGTGGCAGGGTTTTCTTTACGGCTGTCTACTTCCCAAAAAGGGCATGTACTGCACGACGTTTAAGTCTCTGGGGAGAAGTCGCTCCAAGTCCTGCGTATCACTAGTCTCCAGTCCAGGAGGGGACGCTCCAACTTGAGGTGCCACGCCAGGGCATGTTCTCCAGTGGCCCAGTGCGGCTCGGCGGGGGCCGCGCACCCACTCAGATGGGGCCCTGCGCTCACACAACCCTGCGAGCCAGTGCTGCCACCGTCCCTGGCCCTGTCACGGAAGAGGAGGCAGAAGCACAGAGGGGCGCACAGCCGGCAGGTGTGGGCGGCTCAGGCCCTGCACGGCTCCTGGCAGCACCCAAGCACAACCCCGTAGGCCCTGGGCAGCTGTGCATTTCACACGTCTCTGCAGCAGGTTCCAGCCCCAGGGAGGCGGAGGCCCTGTGTCAGTGACTGCGGAGCGGCAGGGCCCAGCCCCACTCCAGGCACAGAGCAGGCACTCAGCCCCCTGCAGGGAGGGAGGGCCTGGGCCCCTGAATCCACTGTCTCTCCCCTGATCTGCCTCACAAAGTCTCCCCAGGGCCAGTTCCAACTGTCCCAGCTCTTCAGGGCGACTTCCCTGCCATCTGCGGGGCCCTCCTGACTCCGGTGGTAGCTGCATCCCACACGGAGGCCCTCATCCTCCATGACCTCACGCTGCACGGTGACTTCATATGGCCGTGACTTAAGTCACGACCTCTGCTCTGACAAACGGCTGGGATGCAAAGCAATCCCAGCATCTCCACCCGGCACCTGTCCACCGGGACACGAAGAGCGCCACTCCAGGCCCCAGGGTCATGCTGACCCCCAACAGTGGCAGCATTCAGGGCATTCACGCCCTTCAGTAACATGGGGCGAGAGAGGGCCTCCCAGTTCTGTGAACGGGCCACAGCTGCCTTGGCCAGATCACACCTGTCTCCTCAGAAGAGAAGCACAAACTAGAGAGAAATCAATCAGAATAAGGTTGAACTGTAAATGTTGATCCGGGTGATGGATGCTGAGATACCTCCAGAAACTCCTCCCTCCTTCTGACCTGGAATGGACCAGGCTTCCTGTCTTGCTGGTGACAGGATAATCTTTGCAGGCCCAGCGGGGCCTTACAGGTTAAGGTCAGATGTGAACATACAAGGCAGGGAAGTGTTTCTCCCCCTCAGTCCCGGAGCCCAGTCTGAGCAGTCCAGACCCAGTGAATGCACGGAATTCTACTCTGGAGGCCTCGGTGCGCACACCAGGGTGAGAGCTTCAAACCGACCCCCTTTCTCCGGAGGCAGAAGCGACATCCATGCCTCGGCCCACACAGCAAAAACTCAGAGCAATTTCCACACTGCTCCCCGACATCCATGCCTCGGGGCCCACACGGCAACAACTCAGAGCAATGTCCACACTGCTCCCCGACATCCATGCCTCGAGGCCCACACAGCAACAACTCAGAGCAATGTCCACACTGCTCCCCGACATCCATACATTAGGACCCACACAGCAACAACTCAGAGCAATTTCCACACTGCTCCCCGACATCCATGCCTCAGGGCCCACACAGCAACAACTCAGAGCAATTGCCACACTGCTCCCCGACATCCATGCCTCGGCCCACACAGCAAAAACTCAGAGCAATTTCCACACTGCTCCCCGACATCCATGCCTCAGGGCCCACACAGCAACAACTCAGAGCAATTTCCACACTGCTCCCCGACATCCATGCCTCGGGGCCCACACAACAACTCAGAGCAATGTCCACACTGCTCCCCGACATCCATGCCTCGGGGCCCACACGGCAACAACTCAGAGCAATGTCCACACTGCTCCCCGACATCCATACATTAGGACCCACACAGCAACAACTCAGAGCAATGTCCACACCGCTCCCCGCCAGGGGCGCGGCAGCCCAGTGCACAGTGCGAAAGGAGGGCTGCTGTGAGCTGAAAACCTGGCAGAGCCCAGAGTCCCTCTCCCCATGCGGGGAGCCCTGGCACCCCTGCAACCGCTCCAAACAAGAGCGGACATCCTGCAGAGGCTCAGCTTCACTCTCTCTCAGAATTCCCACCCTCACGCTGAGCGGGGCACACAGCTCTCGGGGCCAGGCTTACCTGGACATTCAGAAGAAAGGTGGTTAATAACTGCAGGTCGTGGAGGGACTGTAAGTTGATGGTGGCCAGCACTGCGAATGGGAAGGGGAAGAGACACTAAGTGTGGTCTTCGGGCCAGGGAGACTTTCTGAGTCACCCCAGACCTTTAATTCACCAGCAAAATAAATTCACTAATCTTGACATTGTTTCCCACCTCCAATTAGAGTTCAGTTCCCCTGGTGTCAGATTTATCTTGTTCAGCTTGACAATTTCTACCCAGCACAGACCTTACTAAGCATCTGTTCTTGATTAATGCAACTGTTATAACCAGAGTGTACATTTCTGTTCACTGCTCTTTCGTAGGAGCCGAGTCCGATCTTCACTCTGCACCTCGAGCATCTGATATATAGGGTAACCATCTAAATAGATTCCCCTTTTATTTCTTGGATGAGGGCTCATTTTCTCTTCTACCCAGTAATGTGTTGTTGTTTTTTATCTGAAATGGTATTTTAAGTGGCTCTGCGTCAGTGAAAGGTGTGCCTGAGAAAGGGCACTACATCTGACCTATGACCTGGATGCCTGACCCACCCCTTGTAGAACTTGCCAGGCAGTGGGCCTCGCTGGCCAGCTATGGCCTGGGGTCCAGTGGTCCTGGAAAGGCACAGTAGAGATGGAGCCAGCCCAGCCAATGGCCACCTTCACGCTTTCCTGTTGGACACGAGCCCCAACTACAGGATGAAGAACAAACAAGCTGAGGCTCCTGAGGTTAACTAACTTGCCTCAAGGTCACGCAACTGCTCAGGGGCAGAGAAGTGCTGCTCCGGGCCCTGAAGTAGCAGGACAACTCGGCTGTCGTCCTGACGTCACTGTCCTCCGGAAACCCCGGGGTAAGACGCTACAGCCAGACCCTCCTCACCTAGAGGGCAAACCCCTGAGGACAGGATGCCCGCCTGAAACTGACCAGGCAGAAATCTTGGACATACACTTGGCGTGGCTGCAGAACACAGCACCTATTCCTATCTTCCCTGACAGAGCACTAGAACAAAAGCGAAGGAAAGGCAGGTCCTACGAAAGAGGACTGGAGAGGAGCCAGCAGAGACGGCTTCAGGGCGTCCTGGCCGCCTGGGAAAGGGAGTGCACTGGGAAACGGCCCAGGAAAGGAGGGTTCGGATGGGCTCATCACCTCATGGCCAAGACACTGTTCAGGGAGAAGACACCTGGCCTCTGCCTCGCTCATTCCTCCAGCCTCCCCCACCCCTCCCCCCGGCCATCCCCTCAGGGAAAGCTGCTGTCTCCAGGCTTGGAGGGATGGGGCAGGCAGAGTGTGGGTAAGAGACTGAAGGGGGAATAAAGACAATCTGCGGACAGAGTCCTGCCCATTCCTCCCACGTGCTCCCAGAGCACCTATAGCAATACACCGAAGGATTAGTCTCTGGAAACACTTAGCAGAGCTAACGGCAGAATCTCCAAACAGCAACACCTGGGTCTCCCCTATTGAAACAGTCCATCACGGCCCCACCACCCCAAGGAGCAGCAGTGCCGGCCTCTCCTGGCACTCAGCTCCCGAGGCTGGTGAGGACCTGTCGCTCCCTTAAACGGCTCGGTCGAGAGCCAGGCAATCGCAGATGCCCTCATACGGAGGCTGGGGCAGAAGAGGTGCACGCTAGAAAACCACGACAGCGAAATACCTTCAGAGAGAGAAGCCAGATCGTATCCGTGTGAAGAGTAAGCCATGCGAAAAGAAATACAAGAAAAACGGGATCCAGGAAATAACTGGGCTGGAGGATTAAAAGCTGAGGAAGTCACCCAGAAAGCTGAATAAAGGGGCAAAGAGATAAAGAAGCGAAAAGATAAGTGACTTAGAGTGGATACGGGAATCCAATCACAGGTAACAGGAATGACCAAAGATCAGAAAAAAGGGGGGAAGGCACACATGAGAAACGCAACAACTGAACGCCCCGCCACACTGTTCCCCTTCAAATGACCCACAGACGTGCCACGAAAAGGAACGAGTCTCACGTCAAGAACAGCACTGTGAAATCCAGAATATCAAGGATAAAAGAAAAATTCTGAACTTTTCCAGAAAGAGGAGAGGAAAACAAACAGAACACACAAAAGGATCAGGGAGCAGAACGTTCCGGTCCTTCGGCAGCCGCGGGGTGCTAGGCCAGGAGCGAGGCCTCCAAGCCCCGGAAGGGGTCGCAGGAGGCAGAGGCAGTCTGGGGGAGCTGCGCAGAGCCTCCACGCAGGTCAGGGACTGCGAAGTCAGGCAGCGCGCTCAGACTTGCACGGAGTCCGACACGTCCAGCTCTGGAAAGCACCCCGGGCTGACGTGTGGAAGGTGCTTGGAGCGCGTTTGAGAGCGAGGAGCAGGGTGGGAAGGAATGAGTGGGAAGAAAAGGAAAGCAAACGGGACAACTGCACTGACAGTGACAACCAAGCACACTGAGCGAGTGGTCACTCGCATCGCAGGCTCTGGACACGCTCCAGGCCGGCCTGGCCGTCACCTGTGGTCACGCTGCACGGACCTGCGACCCAGCAGCAGCCGGAGGCGTCTGCACTGCCAGGACGGCCGAGCAGAGCAAGGTGGCAGTGGGGACCGGAACTGCGGCCAGGACAGTGGCGAGGCCGGCCTTCTCCTCGGTAAACCACAGCTCTGTATGTACACTGCGGGAATCATGCAGGAAAATGCCAGCAGTTAGGAGTTTAAATGGTCATTTCTGCAGAGTGGAGGAGGGAGGCTACACAGTATTTTTTGATAAGCATATTTATGAGTTGACTTTTATACCTTGTAAATGTGTAACTTTAATTACATTTTTAATTAATTGGAGAAAACAAAACATTCCAGGCAGTCGACAGCAGAGTCTCCTGAGGCCAGGGGTGCGGAGGGGGCGTGGAGGCTCTCGGGGTCCATGCCAGGCTTTCCTCGGAACGATGCCCGCACTGAAAACCTGCAGCAGCCTCCAAGGGCCTTGCCTCCCCACCAGCACCGGCCACAGCTCGGCCCCTCCCGGGTCCCTGCCCAATCGCTGGTGGCTGGAGGCCTAGCAAGCAGCTGCGGGGAGACAGCACCACCACGTGGGAACAGCAGGAATGGCGGCTGGTCCTCATCAGGACACAGGTCTGGGTGCTTGAAGAATTCACCTTGCCTGGGGACCAGAGCCTCCTCCAGCCCATCCATCCAACAGTCACTCCCTGAGTGCCAGCCATGCACCAGGTGCTGGCCCTGGGCTACAGAGCAGCAAGTCCATCTCCGCAGGTGTGCAGGACAGTGGAGGGCCACGCAGAAGGCAGGCATGTGGCGTGTGCTGCAGGAGCCCGCAGGAAGGGCTGGCAGCGGACTTCCTTTCAGCACACCAGCAGAGCCCAGGGGCACAGCCAAACAAGGCAGACAGAACCCAGGCCCGGAGCAGACTGCTGCTGGGGTGGCAGGCAGGCAGACAAAACGAGGACACTACCCAGAGAGTCAGAAGGTGAAGTAAGCAGAGCACAGCTCCAGGATGAGCTGCAGTTCCAGTGGGTGCAGGAAGGAGGCCTCACTTTGAGGTGACCACAGAGAAGTCAGGAGGAAATGCAACCGTCATGCCCTGCACACCCGGCAGAAGGCTGGGGGGTCCAGCGTGTCTGAGGAACAGCAAGGAGGCCGGGGGAAGTGCAGGGTGGGCCAGGGGAAAGCAGGAGACAGCTGGCCAGGAAACAGAGGCTGCGTGGGAGGCCCTTCTAGGTCATGCTCAGAATTTGTGTTCCCCTCTGTGGGAGGCAGGGTGCACCCGGAGTTCAGGTGGGGGATGAGGTGATCAGAGTGGCATTTTCAAAGGCTGCTATGTTGAGAAAGCACTGTGAGGAAGTCAACAGTGAAAGAAAGGGAAATCAGCTCCAAGGCTGCTTCAAGAACGCAAATGAGAAACCATGGCCACAGCTGAGGTGGTTCAACTTACTTGGACTCCAGATAAATTTTGAAGTTGAAGCTAAAGATAAAAAGGATGTGCTGATGGCGGTGTGCCAGGTGTTTGGAAGGAGAAGAGCCGAGGGTGACTCAAGGGTTAGGGCCCATGCGTTTGGGGGAAATGAGTTGCAGCTGAGAAAAGGGAGACCGGAAGTGGGGCGGGTTCTAGGAAGGAAACAGGCTCTGCTCCCCGATGGCTCCCCTGAGGCTGGCACCGCCCCAGGGCGCCAGTGGGCAGAGGTGAGGCAAGACTGTAGGAAGGGTCCCTGATGGAGACATCTCGGACTCGTCCACACAGATGATATTTAAAGCAATCTGGGTGTCATCACCAGATCGAGAATTCATTCCACGCAGTGGGTCTCAAGAATTTGAACATTAGAACTCAGAGAGAGGTGACCAGAATAAAACACCAGGAAGGAGCTCCCTTGAAGTGAAGAAAGCCCGGCAGTGGTGCCCTGGACGCCAGCTGAGCAGGGAGCTTCAAGGGAGAGATGGGTGGGTGCCACCAAATAAGACCAGACGGGTCGGAGGCAGTGAGGACCAACAATGTACATTGATAACGGGGAGCTCACCGGAACCTTGAAAGGTTCTGCCTGTGAAGTGGTGAGGGTGGTCATGTGTCCACCATGGTCTGAGAGGTCAGGATGAAAGGGGCAAGGAGCCAGTGAGCACGGACTGGGGAGATCTGTTGAAAGGAGGGCAGAGAAATAGAACAGCCTCTGGAGAGGGAAACGAGTCGAGATTTTTCTGTAGAAGAGAGAAATAACATGTTTCTATGCAAGAAGAAATGGTCCAAGAGAGAGAAAAGGTGATGATCGAGGGCCAAAGTGGGGGTTGCTGAGCAAACCCTGGAGTCGGGGAGAGGAGGACGCAGAGCACCAGTGTGGATGGCTGCCTGAAACAGCAGGACAGCGCAGCCTGGGTGTGGATGGCTGCCTGAAACAGCAGGACAGCGCAGCCTGGGTGTGGATGGCTGCCTGAAACAGCTGGGCCAGTGCAGCCTGGGAGTGGATGGCTGCCTGAAACAGCTGGGCAGAGCACCAGTGTGGATGGCTGCCTGAAACAGCTGGGCAGAGCACCAGTGTGGATGGCTGCCTGAAATAGCTGGGCAGAGCACCAGTGTGGATGGCTGCCTGAAACAGCTGGGCAGTGCAGCCTGGGTGTGGATGGCTGCCTGAAACAGCTGGGCAGAGCACCAGTGTGGATGGCTGCCTGAAACAGCTGGGCCAGTGCAGTCTGGGAGTGGATGGCTGCCTGAAACAGCTGGGCAGAGCACCAGTGTGGATGGCTGCCTGAAACAGCTGGGCAGAGCACCAGTGTGGATGGCTGCCTGAAACAGCTGGGCAGTGCAGCCTGGGTGTGGATGGCTGCCTGAAACAGCTGGGCCAGTGCAGCCTGGGAGTGGATGGCTGCCTGAAACAGCTGGGCAGCGCAGCCCGGGTGTGGATGGCTGCCTGAAACATCTGGGCAGGCAGCCTGGGTGTGGGTGGCTGCCTGAAACAGCTGGGCCAGTGCAGCCTGGGAGTGGATGGCTGCCTGAAACAGCTGGGCAGGCAGCCTGGGTGTGGGTGGCTGCCTGAAACAGCTGGGCAGGCAGCCTGGGTGACGGGGAGGCAGGGAGAGGTACCACACTGGTGGATACAGCGCTGCCACAGGTATGTACAGTGCACTCACTGCCCAGCCCACTGTCACTGCGCGGCTACGCAGGCCCTGAGAAGAGTCCACCACCTCCAGTTTCTGCAGGACTGAAGCAGGCCATCTTCCCGGCACGCCCAGCGCTGCGTCTGCTCGGCCCTCTTTGGAGACCTGCAGAGACCTCAGAATACCAGCGCACGCTCCCTGTACCCTGCAGTCCACGGAGCATGGCCAGCGTCCGGAGGGAAGGAGACCAGCTACAGAGTGGGCCACAGCAGTTCTGTCTCTGACATGGACACCCCAGCTCTGAGGCCCAGGGCTTCCGGGCCCAGTGCCACACAGAGTGAGGACAGGCGTCAAGCAACTCCCCAGCCCAGGCAGTGCCCGCCTCCACACAGGTACCTCCATCGAGGACCCCACTTCTCAGGCCATCCTTATTGTCTGATGTCAGGAGCAGCTCCACGATCCCTCGGTCCTCCAAGGCCTGTGGGGGAAACGAGAGGAGTCAAGGTCTACAATTCCTCGGAGCTCCTGCCGGGTCACGCAGCTGGGAACGAGGCAGCAGTAAGGGAAAGAGGAAGAGATTCCAATAAAGTGTTTACTTCTCCGCAGAAAACAGAGAAAGCCCGTCCGCGCACCATGTTCGGCAAAGCTCCGGGCAGCGGAAGGCCAGCTGCAGCAGGGCGGGCCATCTGGCTCTGGCAGCCCCCGGCCACTCCCAGTCCGGCAAGGTGCCCCGTCTGGCTGCTGTGCTGGTCCTACTCGGACTGCTCAGAGGCCAGCTCAGCAAGGCCAGCTGCCACACTGCCACCTGGCGAGACCGCAAGGACCCAGGAGTGGGTCAGGACCGCCACTCCTCCCCTTCACCCTCACCAGAAGCAAGCAGCCCATCCCCTCCCCACACCCGCAGGGGGCGCTGGTCACCAGCCATGCCACAGGCACGAGCCATGGAGTGCTGCACATGCCCAGTAGAGCAGTCAGCGCTCCTTGAAGGATGTAACTCAGATGACAAGAAGTGGAAGGAACACATGCTGCGCTGAGAGGCAATAACCACATCCCTGCTCAAGACACCTGCCAACGCTGGAGCCAATACCATCACCCAGGCCTTGCACTGAGCACTTCATCTGCAGACGGTCCTATTCGGTCTTCACATGAGCACCTGAGCTGTGCAGACAGCGCCAGGGAAGTGGGATCGAGCGCTGCAGCACCCGCTGACGAGCCAGGGGGCTGCCTGCCCTCCAAGGTCTGCTCTGGGGCCGCAGGCAACGTGGGATCGGAAACCCCAGGAAGGGCGATTTTCCTATCACTTCCCTGCTTATTTCAACCCGATTCTTTTGGAAACAGGGGAGGCTGAGGGACAACCCAATGGGTGAATAGAGCTCATGTCTGATCCCAGATGCTGGTAAGGAAGGAGCAGGGAGGCCCTAATTCTCGGGTCACAGAAGGTGCAGCCCATGTATGCACTGCCATCTCCAGCTAAACTCGATCAATAAAGGGTAAATAAGTGACCATCCTATTGAGAAAAAGGTATGGAGAAAGAATGTACTAATTAACAAACGGTACTGAGAGATGTGGCACTGATATGAGAAGAGTATTAGGCCCACTTGTGACACGGGAGCCTGGGGCACCTTCCGGAGGAAGGAGGGTGACAAGATGTCACGCCCACACTTACTCTCCTGATGCGGGGCATGTAGGCAGGGTCTCTGTTGTAGGAACCATACTCATTCTCCACCTGCACAGCGATGATGGGTCCTCCATGCTTGTACTGGGTGGGGGAGAGAGACGATCAGAAGCGGAGTGGTAGTGGGAACTGCATTGTCTAACTCACTACACTTATCACCAGTTACTAGCAAAATACCCCACCTGTAAGCAAAAGTCTCAGAAGGCCTGGTGTATAATGGAGAGTGATGTCAGTAAGACAGAGTGGGCAGCTCCAGGCCTGTATTCCCCATTGGAAACATCATATAGACAAATGCATACCAACCAGAACCACCTTATAGGGGCTCTGGAAGCCAATTAAATGTTTAAGCAGACAAAAAAATGCCAAGTCAAGAAAGAGACGTTCAGAATGGTATGAAACTGAACGATGTTTTGCGTGCCCTGGCCCCACCCCCGTGGTGAGACACAGCAGTCAGAAAAAACATCCTGATTCCCAGTTCCCCCCATCAACATAGAGGAAACAAGATGGAACTTGTTAGCAATGTCCTGGGCTGTCTCTGGGCTCATTTCCGTCCCATCCGACTTGGAGCTTCAATAGGACATGTTGGCAAAGTCTGGACCTTAGGTGAGTAACTTTCTTTACAACCTGTTTCTAAAGACTAGTTTTGTTCCTTTGAATGATGTTTCCTGTTTCTTGTGTGTCTTGGTGATGTTTTTTGTTAAAAATTGGATTTTTGGAAAACAGTCACCTCTCCTAGTCTTTATAGATTTGGAGGGAAACCTTCACTATTTAATGAGCTCCTAAGCCTTGGGATCAGCCAGCATGAAGGTCCTATCTGGAGGAAGGGGGGAGGGGGAGAGAGAGAGAGTGTGTGTGTATGTGTGTATTTCACTAGCTGCTTTTACGTCTTATTTTTCCCAGAGTCTCACCCCAGTTTCTTCTTGTGACCTTGAATGTTCTATTGTATTCCTCTGCCTTCACACCCTTGCCCTTAGGCATCCATGAGTCTGTAGTCCCCTGAAGTTTTTACATGCTTTGACCCACCACTGTCTTTAAAGAAACACACACACTGGACTTACTAGACAAAAATTTTTTAACAACTATCATATATATGCTCATAGAGCTAGAGAAAATCATGGACAAAGAAATCAGGAGAAGGATATATGAACAAAATGAGGATATTAATAATGAGGCAGAAACTATAAAAAAAGAACTATACAAATTCCAAAGCTGATAAATACAGTTATCTAAATAGAAAAATTCACCATAGGAGTTCAACAACAGATTCAAACAGGCAGGGAAGAAAATGGAAAAACTTGAAGATGAGTCATTTTATTTATTTATTTTTATATATTTTTATTGATTTTTTAGAGAGAGAGGAAGGGAGAGAGAGAAACATCAATGTGAGAGAGATACATGGATCAGCTGCCTCATGCACACCCCCTACTGGGAATCAAACCCACAACTCGTGCCTGTGCACTGACGGGGAATCAAACTGGGACCTCTCAGTCCATGGGGCGATGCTCAATCACTGAGCCACACTGGCCGGGCGAAGATGAGTCACCTTAAATAGAGTCTGAGAAGTAAAAAGAAAAAAAAAAGAAGAAAAGTGAACAAAGCCTAAGGTACTTAAGCAACATCAGTAAGCAGACAAATATACTCATTATCTTCTCCCCAAAAGGAGAAGAAACAAAAGCAAATGGAGATTATTTGAAGAAATAATAGCTGAAAATCTCCCAAACCTGAGGATACATAGATATACAAATCAAAGAGGCTCCAATAAACTCCAAGTAGCATTAACCCAGAGACCCACACCAAGACACATGACACCCAAACTGTCAAACCCAAAGACAAGAGAGATTCTTGAAAGGAACGAGGGAAAGCAATTTGACATGTACAAGGATCCCCAGTAAAACCATCAGTGGATATCTCATCAGAAACCTTGCAGCACAGAGGAAGTGGAATGTATATTCAAAGTTCTCAAGGGAAAAAAAACAAACAAGAATTCTATATGCAACAAAACTACCCTCAAAAATGAAGAAGAAATGAAGACATTCTCAGACAAATAAAAGCTGAGAGATTTTATTATCACTAGACTTGCCTAAACAAGAAATGCTACATGAAGTCTTCCAAACTGAGAGGTAAGGATGCTAGACAGTAACTTGATGCCACATGAAAATATCAAGTTCTCTGGTAAAGGTAAATATGTGGAAAAAAAATGTAAACATCGATATTACAGTAATTTTAGTATATAACTCCAATTCTTATTTTTACAGGATTTTGAAGACAAATGCATAAAAATAATTATGAGTCCATAATAATGGGTACACAATATAAAAAGATGTAATTTGATATCAGTAACATAAAAGGGGCAGAGCTGTCAAGGAGCAGAGTTTCTGTATGTGATTAAAGTTAAATTAGTATAAACATAAGACCGAATGTCATAGCTTTTGGACAGTATATGTAATACCAATGGGAACCACAATAAAAATATCTATAGAATATACACAAAAGGAAATAAAAGGGGAATCAAAACTTATTTCAAAATAATTAACTAAATATTTTTTAAAAGCCTGTAATGGAGAAAATGAGGGAGAAAAAGCTATAAGACATACCGAAAACAAGTAACAAAATGAAATGGCAAAAGTAAAGTGCTTTCCTATCAGAAATTGCTTTAAATATAAATAGATTAAGTTCCCCAACCAAAAGACAAAGAACTGCAAAATGAATTAAAAAACAGTACCCAACTATATGCTGTCTACAAGACACTCACTTCAGATCTAAGGACACACATAAGTGGAAAGTGAAAGGACGGAGAAAGATATTCTGCGCAAATAGTAACCAAAAGAGAGCAGGGAGCCTTTAAGTCAAAAACCGTTAGAAGAGACAAAGGGTATTTTATATATATACACACACATACATATACACACACACACACACACACACATACATATATATGTAGTTATATAATACATAAATGATAAAAGGCTCAATTTAGAAGATTTAATAATTATAAAGATATATGTACCAAACACCAAAGCTCCAAAATATATAAAGCAAATATTAATAGAACTGAAGAAGAAAACATTCCATAATAATAGCAGGAGACTTCAACACCCCATTTTCGGTAACAGACAGAACAACCAGACAAAAGATTAATAGGAATACAGGACTTGAACAACACCATAGATCAACTGGACCTAAATATGTAGATATATATGGAACACTCCACTCAACAATAGCACAAAACACATTTTTCTCAAGTGCACATGGGATATTCTCTAGGATAGACCATATATTAGGACACAAAACAAATTTTAATAAATTTTAAAATATTTAAATCATAAAAAGTATCTTTTCCAATTACAACAGAATGAATTAGATCCCAACAGCAGCAAGAAAACTAGAAGATTCACAAATATGTGGAAATTAAACAACATACTCTTAAACACCAGTGGCTCAAAGAAGAAGTCATAGGGAAATTAGAAATGATCTTGAGGCGCATTAAAATGTAACACAACAGAACAAACATGGGATGCAGAGGAAGCAGTGCCGAGAGGGAAATTTACAACTGAACACATAAAAAAGTCACAATCTAACTTTTCACCTCAAGAACCTAGAAAAAGAAAAACTAACTAAACTCATAGGTTGTAAAAGGAATAATATAATAAAGATGCGAGTGGAGATTATAATAAAAAATAGAAAAACAGTAGAGAAAAATCAACAAAACCAAGAGTTGTTTCTTTGGAAAAAAATCAACAAAATAGACAAACCTTTAGTTAGATTAACTAAAAAAATATTAAAATAACTAAAAATCAAATAACAAACAAAATAGATGTTGCTACCAATTTTATAAGGATAATAAGGATTATAAAAGAATATAAACAATAGCACACCAACGTAGTGGATAACCTAGATGAAACATACACATTCTAGAAACCACAACATGCCAAAACTGAATCATGAAGAAATTAAAAACCTTAACAGATCTATAATGATTAAAGATATTTACACCAATCTTTCTCAAACTCTTCCAAAAAACATTTGAAAAATAGGAAATATTCCAAGTTTGTTCCATGAGGGCAGTATTACCAAAACCAGAAAAAGACTCTACAAGAAAAGGAAACTGTAGACCAATATCCCTGATGAATATTGATGCAAAAATCTTGAATAAGCCCTGGCCATTGTGGTTCAATGATTAGAACCTTGGCCCAGGCACTGAATGATCATGGGTTCAATTCCCGGTCAAGGGCACATACTTGGGGTGCAGGTTTGATCCCCAGCTCCGGTCAGGGTGCGTATGGGAGGCAACCAATCAATGTGTCTCTCTCACACCAATGTTTCTCTCTCTCTCTGCCTGTCTCTCTCTCTCTCTCTCTGCCTGTCTCTCTCTCTCTCTGCCTGTCTCTCTCTCTCTCTCTCTGCCTGTCTCTCTCTATCCCCTCTCCACTCCCTCTCTTTCAGTCTCTCTATAAAAAAATCTATGGAAAAAATATCCTCAGGTGAGGATTAACAACAACAACAAAAAAGTCTTCAACAAAATACTAGTAAACCAAATAGCATTTTAAAAAGATTGTACAGCCCTGGCCAGTTTTGCTCAGTGGTTAGAGCATTGGCCTGCAGTCCAGAGAGACCTGGGTTCGGTTCCCGCTAAGGGCATGTACCTCGGTTGCAGTTTGTCCCTGGCCCTGATTGGGTCGTGCAGGTGGCAGCTGCTCAATGTGTCCCTTTCACATCGATGTTTCTCTCTCTCTCTCCCTCTCTCTCCCTCCCACTCTATCTGAACAAAAAATGTAAAAATGTCCTCGGGTGAGGATAAAAAAAAAAAGATTGTACATAGTGAACAAGTGGAATTTATTCCTGAATGCAAGGATGGTTCAATCAAAATCAGTGTAACACACCATATTAACAAAATGAAGGGGGGAAAAAACATCATGATCATCTCAATTAATGCAAAACAAAGCACTTGACAAAATTCAATATGCTTTCATAATAAAAAAACACTCAACAAATTAGAAATACATAAAAACTATCTCTACATAATACAGGCTATATATGAAAAGCCCACAGCCAAACTCATACTCAATGGAAAAGATTGAAAGCTT